ATCCCCTCCAATGAAAAGCAGGGGTGTCACTAGCACGTTAAGAGACAACACAATAAGTGTCAGGGGCCCAAGACTGTTCAACTGCCTCCCAGCATACATAAGAGGGATTATCAATACACCCCTGGCTGTCTTCAGACAGGCACTGGACAGCCATCTAAAGTCAGTACCTGACCAGCCGGGCTGTGGTTCGTGCGTTGGATTGCATGCAGCCAGCAGTAGCAGCCTGGTTGATCAGGCTCTGATCCACCATCAGGCCTGGTCACAGACCGGGCCGCGGGAGCATTGACCCCCGGAACTCTCTCCGAGTAAACTCTAGATAACCCAAGAAAATCAGTGCGTCATCGAGGACTGTCTGACTATTTCTATTGGGATCCTCAATCTTGCCCTCCAGGATGCGACCCAGACCAGTCGACTAACACACAGGTACCTATTTGCTGCTAGGTGAACATGACGATAGGTGTAAGGAAACACGTAGAAATGTTTCCACCCCGCCGGGAATCAAATCCAGGCCCTCCGTGTGTGAAGCGAGAGCTTAAGCCACCAGGCCACCGGGATACCCATATCCTGGGACAAGGACCTAATTTACCTGAAATGCTCTTCATAACAAGGGGCTTTCTATATAGTAGTATGTCAATTATGTCACCTAGGCCTGTATACTTTGCACATGTACCTGTAGTAAATAAAGATATTATTATTATTACTCATTACTTACACACTGACAATAGATATCTACCCTCTACCAGGATACACAGCAATTCAAAACTGCAGACCAAACCAAGTTGGGGATGGTATTGCAATCTATTACTCTAACCAATTATCTTGTATTAACACCACTTGCTTTAGTGATGAGTATGGGGAATACATTTTTGCTAATTTTACTGTAAAAAACCTTAAGACACCTATAACAATCGGAGCCATTTACCGGATACCTCACACAAACATCCCAAATTTCAGTGAGAAATTAAAGTCACTAATAACAAACAGACAAATGAATAAGCACCACCTTCTCTTAGCTGGAGACTTCAACATCAACCTCGGCACACTAGATGATCAGCCTGTAACTGATTTCATCAGCAATATGAACAACACACTTCTCATACCAACAATAACTAAACCAACCAGGCTCACTGAGACAAGTGCAACCATAATAGACCACATATGGACCAATATACTAGCCCCCTTAAATCAGGGATAATCACAGATAGCACTACAGACCACTACCCTACCTTCCTCCTGACAAACATTAGTAAACCACCACTTGAATACAACAAAGTTTCATTTAGACTCCATGATGAGGCCTCAATAAGGAAGTTCACAGCTGACCTAGAGACTGTTGACTGGCCTACAGAATTCTCCAAGGCCAATGGTATTGATGACTGGACAGACATTTTTCTTAACAAATTACTTAGACTATACAACAAACATTGTCCTATAAAAACGAAACAGATCACAAACAAACGGCTTGGTTGCCCATGGCTAACTAGCACCATTCTGAAATCCATTGACAAGAAACACCAATATGAAAAGCAATATAGACAGGGCTTAATACACAAAGATATTCTTAAACACTATTCATCAGTTCTCACCAAAGTAATAAAGAAAGCCAAACAACTAAACTACTCCAGTAGATTCACAGACACTAGAGGAGATATAAAAAAAGACCTGGAAAACACTCTCTCAGATTCTAGGGACCCACAAACTGAAAAAAAACAAGAATATTGTCCTAACTAAACCTAATGAAACACCACTACATCCCACTGACACAGCTAACAAGATAAACGACTTCTTCTCAACCATAGGATCTAATCTCGCCAATAAAATCCCACATACCAGTGCCCATGCCGGGGACTACCTAGATGGGAATTTCCCAAATTCCTTCTATCTTGCACCAACTGAGCCCACGGAAGTCACCGAGATTATAAAGTCACTTAAAAATAACTCAGGGAATCTGTCTCATGTCCCACCATTACTGTACAAGCGAGCGGCCCATGTCCTTTCGCATGCTATTTCATTACTTTTTAACAAGTCACTAGAAACTAGCACCTTCCCGAAACTACTCAAGATGGCAAGGGTTACACCAATACATAAAGGTGGTGACCCTACAGATTTAAATAACTATAGGCCAATATCAAACTTGTCATTGCTATCCAAAATCTTTGAGAAACTCGTGCACAGGAGACTATATTCATTTATAACAGCACAAAACATACTCAGCGCCTGCCAATTTGGATTCAGGAAAAATAAAAGCACTAATGATGCAATCATAAAAATGCTAGATCTGCTTTACACAACATTGGAAAATAAGGAATATCCACTAGGAATTTTTATTGACCTAAGAAAAGCTTTTGACACAGTAGACCACGACATCCTACTCCACAAACTTGACCATTACGGTATAAGAGGCCATGCGCTTGCTTATTTCAAATCTTACCTTACTAATAGGTATCAGTATGTCACCATTAAAGACACAGCATCAACCCAAAACGGCCACTTGATACTGGAGTTCCGCAGGGAAGTGTCCTTGGTCCTCTGCTCTTCCTCATATACATCAATGATCTTCCAAACGTATCCCAACACCTGAAACCCATTCTCTTTGCTGACGACACGACTCATGTCATCTCTCACCCTAATCTTGCCACCCTCAACACCATTGTTAACGAGAAGCTGATCAAAATATCGACTTGGATGACAGCCAATAAACTTACTCTTAACACTGACAAAACCTACTATATTATGTTTGGTAGCAGAGCAGGAGATGCACAAATTAACATTAAGATCGACAACATTCTAATTACCAGACATAATGAGGGCAAATTCCTAGGCCTATACCTTGACAACAACCTGAATTTCAGCACCCATATCCAACACATAACCAAAAAAGTATCCTAAACGGTTGGGATCCTCTCCAAGATACGATACTACGTGCCGCAAAATGCCCTTCTCACACTATACCACTCATTTATCCATACCTCACCTATGCTATTTGTGCTTGGGGATCAACTGCAGCAACACACCTAAAGCCAATAATAACCCAACATAAAGCCGCAGTAAGAATAATCACTAAATCCCATCCCTGACAACACCCCCCCCCCTACTCTTCATAGATCTAAACTTACTCCCTGTTCAGTACATCCACACTTACTACTGTGCAATCTACATCTACAGGACCTTAGACTCCAATATCAACCTTGATCTAAAACGCTTTCTTGATAGTTGTGACAGAACCCACAGGCATAACACCAGACACAAACATCCCTACGACATTCCCCGTGTCCGACTAAACATTTACAAAAATTCAATGTTTGTCAAAGGCCCTAAAATCTGGAACACCCTACCTGAGAACTCTAGAACTGCAGACACATTCATCACCCATTTGACCATAAACAGAAATATTAATCTCAATCTTAAAATAATGAACCCTCTGATACTCCAATACTGAAACTATATATTGTGCCAAAACAAAAGCATTCACATTGCTAAACTCACAAACTAGTATTTAGTCACTTAGCCATAATACCAACTTACCTCATAATTTGTAATATTTTAAAATAAAGAATTAAACTAAGTCCGCCCGAAATGCCTAGCCATGCTAGGTGTTCTAGTGGTACACTCTGTAATTATTATTTTACTACATGTAAACCACACAATAACCAAAATCTGTAAACTCAGCATTGTAATCCTTATAGAGAATAAACTTTGAATATATATATATATTATATATATATATATATATATATATATATATATATATATATATATATTATATATATATATATATATATATATATATATATTATATATATATATATATATATAAATATATATATATACATATATATTATATATATATATATATATATATATATATATATATATATATATATATATATATATATATATATATATATATATATATAAACAGAAGATTTAAGAGATACATTATTGATATAAAGGTGGCATATACGGTACATGTTGTTACGTGTGTATCACCGATTATAAGGTGAAAATCTCATCCAGCTCCTCAGAGCTGGGGCGTGTGCCCAAAATACAGCAGGCATTACCCCTTTGAACAGCCGCACTGAGCCGCTGGAACAGAATAAACTAGCTGCCCTGGGATCCCTAGTTACCCTGATGAGTCTTTTTCCAGCTCCTTAAGGAATTTTGATGCACTCTTTCCCCATGAGCCAAGGGTCTCTGAGCCTATGGGACAAACATATAATGATGGGCAAGTTCTCCAAATTTTCTAGACTTTTGGGACTCCCTGAGCTGGCAGCTGCCCCTCCTTCCTCCCTGGTGTATTGGAGATAGGTATCAGCCAAGGTAGATGCACATGTATAGTCCACACCACCTGCTTCCATCTGTCCAGGCTTGAAGGGTGATACATCTGGTAGGAGAGCGAGAGGGAGAAGAGAGAGAGGAAGAGAGGAGAGAGATGTGAGAGAGAGGAGAGAAGAAGAGAGTGAGAGAGGAGAGAGGAGAGAGTGAGAGAGTGAGAGAGATGAGAGAGAGAGAGAGAGAGATGGAGAGAGGAGAGAGAGAGAGAGGAGGGAGTGAGGGAGAGAGAGAGAGAGATATTTAACTAGAATAACCCGATAAAGCCACACCATTTGACTTATTTCCCTTAGGCCTTGCAAAAGTATATTATTTTACTCTTATTTATCTTTAAAATAAATATTAGTCGAATTTCTGTTTTATAAGAATTTTTATAAAACCGTAACAAGGTAACAGTAATGTATATAAGTGTTTAAGTAGATAATTTGTGCTATTCTTGTTAGTTTATTTATTTTATTATATGTCAAACCTAATTTTTCATAAGTTATCATTACTATTGTGTAAAGACATGCTAGAAATTTTACAGATCGATTTGTATGAAATTTATATATAAACTGAATTTAAGTAAAACTACCATTGTATAATGCATTGTAGCATTTATTGATAATTTTTATATATAAAATAAACAAATATTAGTATTAATCATAAAATAAGGAAAAAATGTTTTTCAGAGGTAACATGGTCTGCCGAGGCCAAGTTGTGATGGGTGCCGCCAGGACTTATATACTCTTTAATAAACTACTACGTCCATCATGGCACTTATATTCCAAGGTAGATGTTATAAAGTGAATCATTGACCTGTTTGTCACACTCAGTGGTTTATATTAGTCTTACACTGGCTGGAGTGATGTCATCCAGGTAGATTTTGTTGATTTTACCGGTACATAAAATATAATTGTCTGTATCAAGCTTAATTTTAATAAAATAAATTATAATAATATTTCAATCATGAATTGAATAAGTTAGGTTTTGAAAAATTACATACACACTGCTGTTTCTCTTGTTTTTTCATGAATTACTAATTAACTGGATAAGCTTGGAGAGGCTCACAACTATGTAATGTTTTTTAGAATTTTAAGTACAAAATACTATGAATATTATGAGCTCTTCAAAGTACTAGATGGTTTTATTCAGATTATTAACCCAGAGGATTCATAACCCAGTAAAGCAACTTTGGCTTATTTCTCAATATTGTGTTTTTTAATCTTGTCCCCCAGGATGCGACCCACAAGTCAGCTGACACCCAGGTACCTACTTACTGCTAGGTGGACAGGTGCAGCAGATGTAAGGAGGAATGTCCAGTGTTTCCACTTGTGGTGGGATTGAACCCAGATCCTTCAGATGTGACGTGAATAATAATAATAAAACTAATATAATAATCTTTATTTCTACAAGTACATGTACAAGGTATACAGTCCTAGCAGTCATTAATGACATATTACTGGATAGAAAGCTGCTTGTTATACAGAGCATTTCGTGCAAATTAGGTCAGTTTTGTCCAGGATATGACCGGGGATGGTGAGGCTGGAGGTGCTGTCCTGGTAGTCAGTAATGGTGAGGCTGGAGGTGCTGTCCAGGTAGACAGTAATGGTGAGGCTGGAGGTGCTGTCGTGGTAGTCAGTAATGGTGAGGCTGGAGGTGCTGTCCTGGTAGTCAGTAATGGTGAGGCTGGAGGTGCTGTCCTGGTAGTCAGTAATGGTGAGGCTGTGAGGTGCTGTCCTGGTAGTCAGTATGGTGAGGCTGTAGGTGCCGTCCAGGTAGACAGTAATGGTGAGGCTGGAGGTGCTGTCCTGGTAGTCAGTAATGGTGAGGCTGGAGGTGCTGCCCAGGTAGTCAGTAATGGTGAGGCTGGAGGTGCTGTCCTGGTAGTCAGTAATGGTGAGGCTGGAGGTGCTGTCCTGGTAGTCAGTAATGGTGAGGCTGGAGGTGCTGTCCAGGTAGTCAGTAATGGTGAGGCTGGAGGTGCTGTCCTGGTAGTCAGTAATGGTGAGGCTGGAGGTGCTGTCCTGGTAGTCAGTAATGGTGAGGCTGGAGGTGCTGTCCAGGTAGTCAGTAATGGTGAGGCTGGAGGTGCTGTCCTGGTAGTCAGTAATGGTGAGGCTGGAGGTGCTGTCCTGGTAGTCAGTAATGGTGAGGCTGGAGGTGCTGTCCTGGTAGTTAGTAATGGTTGAGGCTGGAGGTGCTGTCCAGGTAGTCAGTAATGGTGAGGCTGGAGGTGCTGTCCTGGTAGTCAGTAATGGTGAGGCTGGAGGTGCTGTCCAGGTAGACAGTATTGGTGAGGCTGGAGGTGCCATCCAGGTAGACAGTAATGGTGAGGCTGGAGGTGCTGTCCTGGTAGTCAGTAATGGTGAGGCTGGGAGGTGCTGTCCAGGTAGACAGTAATGGTGAAGGCTGGAGGTGCTGTCGTGGTAGTCAGTAATGGTGAGGCTGGAGGTGCTGTCCTGGTAGTCAGTAATGGTGAGGCTGGAGGTGCTGTCCTGGTAGTCAGTAATGGTGAGGCTGGAGGTGCTGTCTGGTAGTCAGTAATGGTGAGGCTGTAGGTGCGTCCAGGTAGACGTAATGGTGAGGCTGGAGGTGCTGTCCTGGTAGTCAGTAATGGTGAGGAGCTGGAGGTGCTGCCCAGGTAGTCAGTAATGGTGAGGCTGGAGGTGCTGTCTGGTAGTCAGTAATGGTGAGGCTGGAGGTGCTGTCCTGGTAGTCAGTAATGGTGAGGCTGGAGGTGCTGTCAGGTAGTCAGTAATGGTGAGGCTGGAGGTGCTGTCCTGGTAGTCAGTAATGGTGAGGCTGGAGGTGCTGTCTGGTAGTCAGTAATGGTGAGGCTGGAGGTGCTGTCCAGGTAGTCAGTAATGGTGAGGCTGGAGGTGCTGTCCTGGTAGTCAGTAATGGTGAGGCTGGAGGTGCTGTCCTGGTAGTCAGTAATGGTGAGGCTGGAGGTGCTGTCCTGGTAGTTAGTAATGGTGAGGCTGGAGGTGCTGTCCAGGTAGTCAGTAATGGTGAGGCTGGAGGTGCTGTCCTGGTAGTCAGTAATGGTGAGGCTGGAGGTGCTGTCCAGGTAGACAGTAATGGTGAGGCTGGAGGTGCCATCCAGGTAGACAGTAATGGTGAGGCTGGAGGTGCTGTCCTGGTAGTCAGTAATGGTGAGGCTGGAGGTGCTGTCCAGGTAGTCAGTAATGGTGAGGCTGGAGGTGCTGTCCTGGTAGTCAGTAATGGTGAGGCTGGAGGTGCTGTCCAGGTAGACAGTAATGGTGAGGCTGGAGGTGCCATCCAGGTAGACAGTAATGGTGAGGCTGGAGGTGCTGTCCAGGTAGTCAGTAATGGTGAGGCTGGAGGTGCTGTCCTGGTAGTCAGTAATGGTGAGGCTGGAGGTGCTGTCCTGGTAGTCAGTAATGGTGAGGCTGGAGGTGCTGTCCTGGTAGTCAGTAATGGTGAGGCTGGAGGTGCTGTCCTGGTAGTAATGGTGAGGCTGGAGGTGCTGTCCTGGTAGTCAGTAATGGTGAGGCTGGAGGTGCTCTCCTGGTAGTCAGTAATGGTGAGGCTGGAGGTGCTGTCCAGGTAGTCAGTAATGGTGAGGCTGGAGGTGCTGTCCAGGTAGTCAGTAATGGTGAGGCTGGAGGTGCTGTCCTGGTAGTCAGTAATGGTGAGGCTGGAGGTGCTGTCCAGGTAGACAGTAATGGTGAGGCTGGAGGTGCTGTCCAGGTAGTCAGTAATGGTGAGGCTGGAGGTGCTGTCCAGGTAGTCAGTAATGGTGAGGCTGGAGGTGCTGTCCAGGTAGACAGTAATGGTGAGGCTGGAGGTGCTGTCCTGGTAGTCAGTAATGGTGAGGCTGGAGGTGCTGTCCTGGTAGTCAGTAATGGTGAGGCTGGAGGTGCTGTCCTGGTAGTCAGTAATGGTGAGGCTGTAGGTGCCGTCCAGGTAGACAGTAATGGTGAGGCTGGAGGTGCTGTCCTGGTAGTCAGTAATGGTGAGGCTGGAGGTGCTGTCCAGGTAGTCAGTAATGGTGAGGCTGGAGGTGCTGTCCTGGTAGTCAGTAATGGTGAGGCTGGAGGTGCTGTCCTGGTAGTCAGTAATGGTGAGGCTGGAGGTGCTGTCCAGGTAGTCAGTAATGGTGAGGCTGGAGGTGCTGTCCTGGTAGTAATGGTGAGGCTGGAGGTGCTGTCCTGGTAGTCAGTAATGGTGAGGCTGGAGGTGCTGTCCAGGTAGTCACTAATGGTGAGGCTGGAGGTGCTGTCCTGGTAGTCAGTAATGGTGAGGCTGGAGGTGCTGTCCTGGTAGTCAGTAATGGTGAGGCTGGAGGTGCTGTCCTGGTAGTTAGTAATGGTGAGGCTGGAGGTGCTGTCCAGGTAGTCAGTAATGGTGAGGCTGGAGGTGCTGTCCTGGTAGTCAGTAATGGTGAGGCTGGAGGTGCTGTCCAGGTAGACAGTAATGGTGAGGCTGGAGGTGCCGTCCAGGTAGACAGTAATGGTGAGGCTGGAGGTGCTGTCCTTGTAGTCAGTAATGGTGAGGCTGGAGGTGCTGTCCAGGTAGTCAGTAATGGTGAGGCTGGAGGTGCTGTCCTGGTAGTCAGTAATGGTGAGGCTGGAGGTGCTGTCCAGGTAGACAGTAATGGTGACGCTGGAGGTGCTGTCCAGGTATTCAGTAATGGTGAGGCTGGAGGTGCTGTCCAGGTAGTCAGTAATGGTGAGGCTGGAGGTGCTGTCCTGGTAGTCAGTAATGGTGAGGCTGGAGGTGCTGTCCAGGTAGACAGTAATGGTGAGGCTGGAGGTGCTGTCCTGGTAGTCGGTAATGGTGAGGCTGGAGGTGCTGTCCAGGTAGACAGTAATGGTGAGGCTGGAGGTGCTGTCCTGGTAGACAGTAATGGTGAGGCTGGAGGTGCTGTCCTGGTAGTCAGTAATGGTGAGGCTGGAGGTGCTGTCCAGGTAGACAGTAATGGTGAGGCTGGAGGTGCTGTCCAGGTAGACAGTAATGGTGAGGCAGGAGGTGCTGTCCAGGTAGTCAGTAATGGTGAGGCTGGAGGTGCTGTCCAGGTAGTCAGTAATGGTGAGGCTGGAGGTGCCGTCCAGGTAGACAGTAATGGTGAGGCTGGAGGTGCTGTCCAGGTAGACAGTAATGGTGAGGCTGGAGGTGCTGTCCTGGTAGTCAGTAATGGTGAGGCTTGAGGTGCTGTCCTGGTAGTCACTAATGGTGAGGCTGGAGGTGCTGTTCAGGTAGACAGTAATGGTGAGGCTGGAGGTGCTGTCCAGGTAGACAGTAATGGTGAGGCTGGAGGTGCTGTCCTGGTAGTCACTAATGGTGAGGCTGGAGGTGCTGTCCTGGTAGTCAGTAATGGTGAGGCTGGAGGTGCTGTCCTGGTAGACAGTAAATGTACCATGAGGGAATGCACATAAATGGCCTCGAGGGAGACAGGAGATGTATTGGGGAAACAAGTGTAGTCAAGGACAAGATAAAACCAATATTACAAACTAGTAATACCACAGGAGATAGCAAACAAGGGGACTCCACTAGCAGTAGTGAGGATATATTACCAGAAACAACAGGTGAGAGCTCCATTGTTAGTACTAGTGAGGATAGGAATGAGACAGGAAAATATGCACCAACAGGAATACAGTCACAAAAATCCAAGGCAAATGGAAACCAAGCCTGTGCACATACTATGCACTTGGTATCTGCAGGCATGGGAAATCTGGAAAAACAGATGGGTTGTGCAACTTTGACCACCCTGAAATGTGTCCTTCTTCAGTACAGGAAAGACTGTGCTATAACTTAAATTACCATGCACACCATCTAAAGGGGACAAAAAGATACAAAACATCCAGGCCATGGGAAAACCTGGGTAGCCACAGCCACTCAAGAGGGAGAGGTTTTTTAGTGCCAGGAAGAAAAAAAAACTGGCAGGAAATGGCAGAAATCGTACACCAAATCCAGTCATTCCTGGAGTGGAACCACAGTCGATGGCCTCCACTCCAAACCAACAGATACAGATATTAGCGCAGGAAAAAAAAAGAGACCCCCCCCCCCCAGTACCACCGATACCACCAGTCCGATGACATTCTTCTTTGCAGATATACAGGGTCTAAAGCCAGCAATGAACAACAAAATACTTTTCATCCGTGGATTGCTTGCAGAGGCAAATGCAACTTTTGCGGCTTTCACAGAGACCCACATAAAGGATCACTTGGACAGTGAAATATGGATCCTAGGTTACAGCCTATGCAGATGCGACAGAATGAACAGGCAAAAGGAGGGAGGGTGGCCTGTATATCGCAGAGTCACTTATTTGCACAGAACTGCTTAATGCCTCAAATGATGTAGTGGAAGTTTTAGCAGTAAAAATCAAGAACTAAAACCTAGTCATTGTGGTAGTCTACAAGCCTCCGGTTGCAACGTCCCAGCAATTCCAGGAACAGCTGTTGAAAATTAACCACTGTCTGGAAAATCTTCCAGCTCCTGCCCCCAACATCTTGCTCCTGGGGGATTTCAACTTGAGGCGCTTAAAATGGAGGAATATAACAAATAATGTTGCAGTGATAACACCAGGAGGCAGCTCTGACGAGAACTCTCACACACGAGCTTTTAAATCTCTGCACAAAATTCAACTTAAACCAGCAAATAATAGAACCTACTAGACTGGAGAATACACTGGACCTCATCTTCACTAATAATGATGATCTTCTACGATATGTCACCATATCAAAAACAACATAATCAGATCGCAACATAATTGAGGTTCAAACATGTATGCGGGGAGCCCCAGACCGACAAAATGTGATGGGTCACAAGGGAGCCTTCACCAAATTCAACTTCAATAACAAGAACATAAAATGGGACCAAGTAAACCAAGTCCTAAATGATATAAGCTGGGAAGATAGGCTAAGCAACACAGACCCCAACTTATGCCTAGAACAGATTAACTCTGTGGCACTCGATGTATGCTGAAGGCTTATTCCTTTAAGAAAAAGGAGGAGTAGATGTAAAATAGAAAGAGAGAGGTGCTCCCTTGACAGGCAATGGAAAAGAATAACAGAGCGGCTAAAAGAGGCCTATATATCTGAAATGCATAGGGAGACACTGGTCAGAGAAATAGCAAACATCGAACTAAAGCTAAAGGAATCTTATAGGAGTCAGGAATCGTGGGAAGAACTAAAAGCCATAAATGAAATCGAAAGAAACCCAAAGTATTTCTTTTCTATGCCAAATCAAAGTCGAGAACAACATCCAGTATTGGGCCTATACTTAAACAAGATGGGTCCTACACAGATGACAGCAAGGAAATGAGTGAGCTGCTCAAGTCCCAATATGACTCAGTTTTTAGCAAGCCGCTAACAAGACTGAGAGTCGAAGATCTAAATTATTTTTTATGAGAGACAAACAGAATTTGGTAAACACAAGCTTATCTGATGTTATCCTGACACCAAATGACTTCGAACAGGCGATAAATGACATGCCCATGCACTCTACCCCAGGGCCAGACTCATGAAACTCCGTGTTCATCAAGAACTGCAAGAAGCCCCTATCACGTGCTTTTACCATCCTATGGAGAGGGAGCATGGACACGGGGGGTCGTCCCACAGTTACTAAAAACAACAGACGTAGCCCCACTCCACAAAGGGGGCAGTAAAGCAATAGCAAAAAACTACAGACCGATAGCACTAACATCCCATATAGTAAGATGGCCACCCATCTAGATACTTATCAGTTACACAACCCAGGGCAACATGGGTTTAGAGCAGGTCGCTCTTGTCTGTACCAACTACTTTATCACTACGACAAGATCCTAGATGCACTGGAAGACAAAAAGAATGCAGATGTATTATATACAGACTTTGCAAAAGCCTTCGACAAGTGTGACCATGGCGTAATAGCACACAAAATGCGTGCTAAAGGAATAACAAGAAATGTTGGTAAATGGATCTGTAATTTCCTCACAAACAGAACACAAAGAGTAGTAGTCAACAGAGTAAAGTCTGAGGTGAATACTGTGAGAAAGCTCTGTTCCGCAAGGCACAGTACTTGCTCCCATCTTGTTTCTCATCCTCATATCTGACATGGACAAGGATGTCAGCCACAGCACCGTGTCTTCCTTTGCAGATGACACCCGAATATGCATGACAGTGTCTTTCATTGAAGACCCTGCAAGACTCCAGGCGAATATCAACCAAATCTTTCAGTGGGCTGCAGAAAAGAATACAAAGTTCAACGATGAGAAATTTCAATTATGTACTCTGATATGGTAAACATGAGGAAATTAAAACTTCATCAGAGTACAAAACAAATTCCGGCCACAAAATAGAGCGAAAAATCAACGTCAAAGACCTGGGAGTGATCATGTCGGAGGATCTCGCCTTCAAGGACCATAACACTGTATCGATCGCATCTGCTAGAAAAATGACAGGATGGATAATGAGAAGCTTCAAAACTAGGGATGCCAAGCCCATGATGACACTCTTCAGGTCACTTGTTCTATCTAGGCTGGAATATTGCTGCACACTAAGAGCACCTTTCAAGGCAGGTGAAATTGCTGACCTAGAAGATGTACAGTGAACCTTCATGGTGCGCATAACAGAGATAAAACACCTCAATTACTGGGAGCACTTGAAGTTCCTGAGCCTGTACTCCCTGAAGCGCAGGTGGGAGAGATACATGATTATATACACCTGGAAAATCCTAGAGGGACTAGTACCGAACTTGCACATTAAAATCACTCACAACGAAAGCAAAAGACTCAGCAGACGATGCAACATCCCCCCAATGAAAAGCAGGGGTCACTAGCACGTTAAGAGACAATACAATAAGTGTCAGGGGCCCGAGTCTGTTCGACTGCCTCCCAGCATACATAAGGGGGATTAACAATAGACCCCTGGCTGTCTTCAAGCAGGCACTGGACAAGCACCTAAAGTCAGTACCTGACCAGCCGGGCTGTGGTTCGTACGTTAGATTGCGTGCAGCCAGCACTAACAGCCTGGTTGATGAGGCGCTGATCCACCATGAGGCCTGGTCACAGACCGGGCCGCAGGGGCGTTGATCCCCGGTACACTCTCTCCTGGTCTCCAGGTAGACACAAGTCGACTAACACCCAGGAACCTATTTTACTGATAGGTAAACAGGGACAGCAGGTCTCTTAAGGGAACATGTCCTAATGTTTCCACCAGTGATGGGATCGAACCACAGACCTCAGTGTGTGAGTTAAGTGTGCTAGCAATCGAGCTTTGGGACACTACTTAAACTACAAGCCACACAGTGCTGTGCCATGAATTACTACTATTACTACTATTTCTACTACTGCTACTACTATTACTACTGCTACTACTATTACTACTACTATTATTACTACTACTACTATTATTACTACTACTACTATTATTACTACTACTACTATTATTACTACTACTACTATTATTACTACTACTACTATTATTACTACTACTACTATTACTACTACTATTATTACTACTACTATTATTACTACTACTATTATTACTACTATTATTACTACTATTATTACTACTATTATTACTACTACTATTACTACTACTATTATTACTACTATTATTACTACTACTATTACTACTATTATTACTACTACTATTATTACTACTACTATTATTACTACTACTATTATTACTACTACTATTATTACTACTATTATTACTACTACTATTATTACTACTACTATTATTACTACTATTACAGTGGACCCCCGGTTAACGAACTTTTTTCATTCCAGTAGTATGTTCAGGTGCCAGTACTGACCGAATTTTTTCCCATAAGGAATATTGTGAAGTAGATTAGTCCATTTCAGACCCCCAAACATACACGTACAAACGCACTTACATAAATACACTTACATAATTGGTCGCATTTGGAGGTGATCGTTAAGCGGGGGTCCACTGTACTACTATTATTACTTCTATTATTATTACTACGTACTACTATTATTACTACTACTATTTCTATTAGTACTACTAATATTACTACTACTACTGCATATGAATTTATTTGTTTTATAGTATTTGTTCTCTTGTTTTTTCAGTTGCCAGTCTGTTTCTCAACATCGGCAAGTACAGTACCTGTACCTTTAGAAAAAATTCGGAATATTGGAATATCAGCACACATTGACTCTGGAAAGACAACCTTGACTGAACGGATTCTGTACTACACTGGCAGGATTGACGAGATGCATGAGGTTGGTTATTTGTTATGTTATGTAGTTGTTTTGAGGATAATCTTCCCAGTAGCCCAGTCTCGGACCAGGCCTCCTAGGTTGGAAAGGAAATATTGAGAAGAATTAAGAAACTCATTGGAAAATAAATGTGTACATATACTGAATGTAAATAGAAGTTTGAGGTTTTCCAGTCATTTCACATGTTCATGAGAGAGAAAGAAAAGATCAGTAGTCATGCTTGAATGTAAAAAATGTGCTCACTGGAATCCTAAGACAATAATAAAAGAACACTGTATTAGGCCTACTGGCCTGTGCTAGGCAGCACCTATTCACCCACTATTTCTAACTCATTGAGAATTCTTCTGTATTGCTAATCCATTATTTTCTTATACCCTTTATTAATCTGAATTTATTCAACTTGATTACATATTTGAGAGTTGGCTTGTTTGTTTATTTTTTCATCATACAGTGGACCCCTCTCATTAATGGACTAATCGGAGGAAGGGGGTGTACTATAGTGCTGAGTGTTTGAAACTTCTGAATTGTGAAATTAATTTTTCATGATCGTCCGGTTGTCTTCTAAACTAAATCCACTGATTTAGTCCGCTCTTGCAGAAGACAACCAGACACAAGAATGTGGGTATTGTAACCTGTAGTACTGCAGTACAGTACTGTACTTTGTAGTAATTTTATAGTGCTGTACATAATTTACTTAACTTTTTGTGATGGAGAAATTTGGTGTAAGCTGCCTTGATTGACAGTGATGACTCAGAATAAGTTTCATTCTGAGTCAGAGGAACTGTAAGGTTCTTCTAGATGGCTGAGAAGATGTGCCACTGATATGCCATTCAGTTTTCTTTATTAGCTCAAGTTTCTGCTTAACACTGAGAACTACATGATTCCTCTTGGCACCACCACTTGCTATAGGAGACATTGTTACTTGCACTTTTCTTAATATGTTGAAACTTCAGAAGACAACTGGATGCTATCACACTATCACTGCAGACAAAATAATTTTGTCCAATGATTCTAATGGTTTTCCGACCAATTTCTTGTCCAAAATTGCCGAAATCTATTAATGAGAGGTTTAGTATAAGGATTCTGAATCCCCTTTGTTTTTGTGTCCACTTTGAGTCCTCTGTTGAGATAATTCAGTGCTCTAAATCTATCTTTATTAAGATAGATTACTGATAATACAGAAAGCTTTTGTATTCCTCTGTACGTTTCCCCTCATTTAAATGACGGAGTTCTACTCCAAAGACCATGTCTTAAAACAATTCTTTTCCAAAGCGAGGAGGCTAAAAAGGTAGTGAGTTTGTGTTGGCCATTTTTTGATTTTGTTTTAATGTCCCCTTTTTGCACATTTACGCATTTTGGTATACACCTCCATCCGACTTACGACCGAACTTGTTCTGAAAAAGGTTGTAAGTCAAAATGGGCATAAATAACCCTTACTACTAATATCAAATCACATTTTTTGAAAATTGATTTTATTTTTTTGTTTTTTTTGGTATTTAATTTTTTACTTTATTTTTATGCTGTTGTACTGTATTTTATACTGTAAGGTTTAGGATAAAAAAATGGTTTAAACAAACAGTTTATTTCCCCAAAAATTTTGGCTACAAAAACAGGGTTTGTAAGTCGAGTGGTCGTATGCGAGCGGGTCTAAGTCGGATGGTGGGGTGTATTTTTAAAGTTTTACAATAGTGTAGTATTTTAAAAATAAAACAAATAGAGGAAACGGCTTGATTACTTATTTGGTAGAATACTGGCAGAGGCCTGTCGAAAGTCCAAAGGGTCAGTAAACGGGTTGCGCAAAGCGGGGAGGCTAAATATCTTTCTTTACATTTTGTTCTGACAAAACTATGGACCTTACCCCCATGTTTTTTGTATTTAATTTATAAATAGCATATACATCTGTATAAAAAAAATTTAAAATGGTAAATATGATCAGGTTATGGTATAGGTAAAAAGTGTGGTAAATGAGAATGTATTTTGTCTGTACTTACATTCCCCTTTCAGGGTCCGTCCGTAGATTAGGCTTTACGTTTGGGGCCAAACATAGTTCGTCGTGAGCTCAGCTACTTGATAAACTGCGAGTGGTAACTTGGGCTGATATGAGAGAATAATCTATGTGGATGTGTAAACCCCAAAAAAACGTCCGCGCACCTGTGTATAATGAGAAAAAAAAAAACTGAAACCAAAAATTTTTTGGGTTAAAAAAAGCAATTTGCAGTGTTTTTCGTATGTTTTTTAAGTTTTTTTTGCAAATTTCTTGGGCTCTTTTTATAGAAGAAGCATATTACAGAAAAAAAAGATGATTTTTTATTTTGTTTTGCATGGAAATGGCTTTAAATGAGTAAATTAGCAAAATGTTAAATTTTTTTCCCATGTTAAGAGTAATCAAACGACCTCAATTTCTAATACCGCCAGCTGGTGGGGGGCTAATATCTTCACAAATTGGTATGTATTTATACAAAATTTTCGAATTTTCATAACAGTAAATCTTCTATTTTTTTGTGAATAAAAAATTCCCTTTTGTGAAAAAAAAATCAATATGGGAATTTATCAGTAAAGCCTAAAACATAACTAATGAACAGGGAAATGTTAGTTTAGTGCCAGGAATGCCCCAAATTTTTATTCTGGATGCTATTTTTTTAAATTGGAATATTTTTAATTGTGTTAAATTGGCCCAAAATTTCCAATTTTGTCACTTTTTTTTGTAGTTGAAACAGTTGACTTGGCGATTTTCTTGTGTCGTCGATAGAATAGAAGTAATCGGAAATAGCTAAAAATTTTTGGGCGACTGGAAAAGATGTATTGGCCTAAAATGGGAGTCAAAGTCGGCAAAATCGCCCCATTCGTAAAAAATCGCTGACCATCAAAATTCGCGGACGTAATTTGTCAATTTTCTCAAATTTTCTTTTTTTTTTATTACCTTCACAAAAATTCTCTACCCTTTCAGATAAGAAAAAAATAAAAAATTTTTTTTTGGAAAATTCTTGCGACACTGGGGCACCACTTCAGATTTTGGCCTTGGACCCTGAAGGGGGTTAAGATTGTATATTTTACACGTTTAACTATTTTTGGATATAACCTGTTCGGGTTTCGGCCATACTAGTACAAGCTTACGCACCAGGGTCCATGACGTATAGTACTCATAAATTCTAGCGCCTTCAAATCTGTGCGAGAAAGTTGGTAGTCCCTACATCTGAAAGAATGGGTCTATGTGGTCTGGGTGCGCTGTAGAAAAAAAAATTTCCTGCAGTACACGGTGCATATGAGAGAAAAAGAACTTTGACCGTGTGTTTGGATGGGAAAAACATGCGACTTTGCACTTATATTTTAGTATGGTATTTATTTTTGTATTCTAGTTTTCTGGTCACATTGTTATAGAATGGATGGACATATTACAGATATTGAGATGATTTTGACTGTTTTACAAATGAAAAGTACTTGAAATTGAGCTCAAGTAGCAGATATGTTCGTTTTTTACCAAGTTTTAAAAGTAAACAAATAATCGCCAAGCGTCCAATACCACATCAACTGGTGAGTCTATATTCTTCACAAGTTCGCGATTATTATTATACCATTTCCATACACTAATGCAGTAGTCGCATAAACAGTAATCTTCTTATTTTTTGTTGGAGAATATAATTTCAAAGTGGAAAGCAAAAGAAATGTAAGAGGGGCCTGGGGGGATGTGCCTGATGAACAGAGAATATGTTATTTTTGTGCCGGAATGTTCTTCTTGTTTTCTGGACCTATTTGGAAAGTGGCATCTTTTGAAAATTGTGTGTGAAATTGGCAAAATTGCTCTAAATTCTGACCACTGTAATTGGATAGTTGAAATCGGTATTGGTGGTTCTTGTACTCATTCGATAGAAAAAAATGGACTTCTAGGGGGTAATAGTTATGATTTTTTGTCGATTTAGTTACATTGGAATTGGCCGAGGAAAAAATAGGGCTCAGAGTGGGGCAAAATCGCTGATGCGTAAGCATCGTCGAGACCGCTAACTTCGCGAGAGCATAATTCCGTAGGTTTTCCATCAAATTTCATACTTTTGGTGTCATTATGATCGGGAAAAGATTCTCTATCTTTTCATAAGAAAAAAATTTTTTTTTTTTTTTTTTTTGAAATTTGGCCGACCCTGAGAACAAGTCTCTGAGAGGGCCTGTGGACCCTGAAAGGGTTAAAATATTGATATTCTTGTCTAAATTGATTGTCCTTAACAACTCTTGTGTAATCAGAAATTGACAGTGAGAGTCTTGTTATCCAACTTTTTGTCATATAACCTTGATGGATAAACCTTGGAAGTATGAGTCTTTTTCAGGTACTTCTTGGGTCTATATTTGGCAGTGATGGTTTAAATCCCTCTTGTTGACTGGTTTTATTAAACTTTGCAGTTGATTTTTATGTACAAAAATAAAAAAGTTCTTAACTGTGGCAATTGTTAAAATTCAATTGTTAAAACTTTATTTTTGCATTTACTTCAGGTTCGTGGAAAGGATGGCATTGGTTTAGAGCTGTAATGGACAGTATGGAAGCTGGAGAGAGCAACGTGGCATCACAATTCCAAAGTGCCGATACTTATACATATGGAAAGATTCTAACTCAAACATTATTGATACACCAGGTATTTGATCAGTGAGATCAGTCATGTCTCAAATTTTCTTTTTTTTCCAGAATATTTCAGTGGCAACTTTTATAAAGTTGTAGATTAGTATGTAATGAAAATTAAAGGTAGAGTATTTGGCTTGATAGACAAAGATGATGCTGTATCCTATAAACATATTACAAAATCATATTTGTCAACACTAGGTTTTAATTTTATGTTGCAGTGCATTGTGGTGTTTGTATTCTTCAAAACTGAATCCCATATTTTTCTTTATAACATAAGTGTTTTGTTTTCTAATCTTATTATCTTAACATTGGACATTTTCGGCATGCAGTTAACAACACAAGTGGTATTCCATTGTATTGCCTAATATTTATTTTGTGTTAGACTAGTAATATCAGGGCTAAATATGTAAACCAAGTTTTTTTTTTATATATTTTGGTTACAGTGTGTATTTACAGGGTATAGTAACTGTATGAATGTTAATGCTCCCCATTAATTAATCTTGTTTTAGTTAAGTTTAATAATTTTATTTTACATATCTGTACAAGCATATACAGTGGAACCTCTGTGTTACTGATCGCCCCACATGCAAATTTTTCAGGTTATGAACCGTCGTTCGTTCGAGTCGATTCTTGTTGCTTCGGGACGGTAAGAAATTTCAGGGATTGCAAATTTCCTCCTCAAGGGCAGTTCCTTAAATAATACAATTATTTAGAAACATAAGAAAGGGGAAGGAAACACTACAACAGGCCTAATGACCCATGCGAAGCAGGGCCATGTGTCCCCCCCCACCCCGATTAGCCCAATGACCCCTGGATAAGCCCAATGACCCACCCAGTCTGGTCGACCTCCACTCAAGGATGGAGCACGGCACCAGACCTAGCAGCACAAGCTAGTCAGGTCCAACTCATATAATATGATTGGAGCAAAGAAAGCCACTATCATGCTGAGGCATTTCGAGCAGAAATGCCTACTTAAGACTACTTAAGTCTAGACAGGTGAAAAGTGTACTACGTCAGATAGTGGTTACCAAACGTTTTGCTGAGGTGGTGCCGAAAACTACTGGGCATCCTTTTGAAGTTTCTCCCTCACTTTTTTTTTTTTTTTTTTTTTTTTTTTTTTTTTTTTTTTTTTTTTTTAAACAAACTGGCCATATCCCACCAAGGCAGGGTGGCCCAAAAAGAAAAATGAAAGTTTCTCTTTTTAAATTTAGTAATTTACTCAGGAAGGAAGGTGTTACTAGCCCCCTTGCTCCCGGCATTTTAGCGCTTCTTACAACACGACATGGCTTACGGAGGAAGAGAATTCTGTTCCACTTCCCCATGGAGATAAGAGGAAATAAACAAGAACAAGAACTTAGAAAGAAATAGAAGAAAACCCAGAGGGGTTGGTATATATATTTTCTTTCAACACACCGGACGTATCCACCGAGGCAGGGTGGCCCAAAGAAAAAACGAAAGTTTTCCTTTTAATTTATTTAATAGTTACCAGAGAAGGGGTATTGCACCTTGATACCTGGCATTTCATTTTTTGTCGCCTCTTACAAACGCATGGCTTACGGAGGAAGAATTCTGATCCACTTCCTCATGGAGATAAGAGGAAAATAGACAAGAACAAGAACTAGAAAGAAAATAGGGAAGAAAAACCAGAGGGGTATGTTTTATATCATATATATACTTGTCATGTATGTGTAGTGTGACCTAAGTAGAAGTAGCAAGATGTACCTGAAATCTTGCATGTTTAAGAGACAGATAAAAGACACCAGCAATCCTACCATCATGGAAAACAATTACAGGATTCCATTTTACACTTGCTTGGCAGGACGGTAGTACCTCCCTGGGCGGTTGCTGTCTACCAACCTACTATCTACTGTTATTATTATTACTATTATATTGTATTATCATTATTGTTATAATAATAATGATTATTATTATTATTCTTAGTGGTAGTAGTAGTACGTACGTATGTGGTGAGGGGGCTCTTGATCAAGGGAATTGGATCTGTGCTCCAGGTCCCTAAATTAATAATAATAATAATAATTATTATTATTATAATACATACTAATAATAATGATAATACATAATTATGTATAATATAATAATATAATACGTACTATATAATAAAATCTTTCATCTTTCAACACACTGGCCATATCCCACTGAGGGTTGGGGTGGCCCCCAAATGGAAAAAACGAAAGCTTCTTTTACATTTAGTAAATTTACTGGAGAAGGGGGGGGTTATTAGCCCATTGCTCCTGGCATTTTAATTGCCTCCTACAACACGCATGGTTTATGGAGGTAGAATTCTGTTCCACTTCCCCATGGAGATAAGAGGAAATAAACAAGAACTAGAAAGAAAATAGAAGAAAACCCAGAGGGGTGTGTGTATATACGTAATATGTTGTACATGTATGGTGTAGTTGTGGACCTGAAGTGTAAAGTAGAAAGTAGCAAGATGTACTGAAATCTTGTTGTTTATGAGACAGAAAAGAGTCACCAGCAATCCTACCATCATGTAAAACAATTACAGGCTTTCGTTTTACACTCACTTGGCAGGACGGTAGTACCTCCCTGGGTTGTTGCTGTCTACCAACCTACTACTACAATAATACATAAAATATAATAAATAATAGGTAGTAGGTTGGTAGACAGCAACCCCCAGGGGAAGTACTACCGTCCTGCCAGATGACTGTGAAAACAAAAACTGTTACTGTTTGCATGATGGTAGGATTGCTGAGTTCTTTTTCTGCTTCATAAACACGCTAAGATAACAGGGATATCTTGCTACTCCTACATACACTTTGGTCACACTTCACAGTCACGCACATGCATTATATATATATAACATACAATCTAGGTTTTTCTCCTTTTTCTAAATAGCTCTTGTTCTTTTTTATTTTTCTATTGTCCATGGGGAAAGTGGAAAAGATTCTTTCCTCGTAAGCCCCATGCGTGTCGTATGAGGCGACCTAAAATGCCGGGAGCAATGGGCTTGTAACACCTTCTCCTGTATCAATTATAAACAAAGAGAAGAAGAAAAACTTTATAAAATGGTTGCTTAATGTGCGTGGATGTAGTGCGGTTATGACAAGAAACAGATGATTGCTGATGTTATGAATGAAAAGAAGTGGATGTCCTGGCCCTAAGCGACAACAAAGCTGAAGGGGGTGGAGAGTTTCAGTGGGGGGAACTAAATGGGATTAATCTGGAGTATCTGTGAGAGAGTTAGAGCAAACGGAAAGGGGTAGCAGTAATGTTAAATGAACAGTTATGTAAGGAGAAAAGAGAATATGAATGTGTAAATTCAAGAATTATGTGGATAAAAGTAAAGGTGGATGCGAGAAGTGGGTCATATAAGCGTGTATGCACCTGGAGGAAGAGAGGAATGCGAGGTGGCGAGAAGAGTATTTTGGAGATGTTAAGTGAATGTATAGGAGCCTTTGAACAAGTGAGAGAGTTAATTGTGGTAGGGGACTTGAATGCTAAAGTAGGAGAAACTTTAGAGAGGTGTGTGGTAGGAAGTTTGGCGGTGCAGGTGTAAAATGATTAATGGAAGCCCTTTGATTCGAACTTTTGTTATAGAACGGGGTTTAGTTATAGGGTATACATATTTTAAGAAAAAGAGGATAAATAAGTATACACGATATGATGTAGGGCGAAATGACAGTAGTTTGTTGGATTATGTATTGGTAGATAAAAGAACTGTTGAGTAGACTCAGGATGTACATGTTTATAGAGGGGCCACAGATATATCAGATCACTTTTAGTTGTAGCTACACTGAGAGTAAAAGGTAGATGGGATCAAGGAGAATAGAAGCATCAGGGAAGAGAGAGGTGAAGGTTTAAAAACTAAAAGAGGAGGCAGTTAGGGTAAGATATAAACAGCTATTGGAGGATAGATGGGCTAAGGGAGAGCATAGGCAATGGGGTCGAAGAGGTATGGGGTAGGTTTTTAAAAATGTAGTTTTTTAGAGTGTTCAGCGGGAAGTTTGGGGTTACAGGAAATGGGTGCAGGAGGGAAGAGAAGCGATTGGTGGAATGATGATGTAAAGAGAGTAGTAAGGGAGAAAAGTTAGCATATGAGAAGTTTTTACAAAGTAGAAGTGTTTGCAAGGAGGGAAGAGTATATGGGGGAAAAAGAGAGAAGTTAAGAGAGTGGTGAAGCAATGTAAAAAGAGAGCAAATGAGAGAGTGGGTGAGATGTTATCAACAAATTTTGTTGAAAATAAGAAAAGTTTGGGAGTGAGATTAACAAGTTAAGAAAGCCTAGAGAAAAAATGGATTTGTCAGTTAAAAATAGGAGAGGGAGTTTATTAAATGGAGAGGTAAGGTTTTGGGGAAGATGGAAGGAATATTTTGAGGAATTGTTAAATGTTGATGAAGATAGGAAGCTGTGATTTCGTGTATAGGGCAAGGAGGAATAACATCTTGTAGGAGTGAGGAAGACCCATTTGTGAGTGTGGGGGAAGTTCGTGAGGCAGTAGGTAAAATGAAAGGGGGTAAGGCAGCCGGGATTGATGGGATAAAGATAGAAAGTTAAAAGGGCAGGTGGGGATATAGTTTTGGAGGGGTTGGTGCAATTATTTAATAAATGTATGGAAGAGGGTAAGGTACCTGGGGAATTGGCAGAGAGCATGCATAGTTCCTTTGTATAAAGGCAAAGGGGATAAAAGAGAGTGCAAAAATTTAAAGGGGGATAATCTGTTTGAGTGTACCTGGTAAAGTGTATGTAGAGTTATAATTGAAAGAATTAAGAGTAAGACGGAGAATAGGATAGCAGATGAACAAGGAGGTTTTAGGAAAGGTAGGGGGTGTGTGGACCAGGTGTTTACAGTGAAACATATAAGTGAACAGTTATTTGGGATAAGCTAAAGAGGTCTTTGTGGCATTTATGGATTTGGAAAAGGCGTATGACAGGGTGGATAGGGGGGCAATGTGGCAGATGTTGCAAGTGTATGGTGTAGGAGGTAGGTTACTGAAAGCAGTGAAGAGTTTTTACGAGGATAGTGAGGCTCAAGTTAGAGTATGTAGGAAAGAGGGAAATTTTTTCCCAGTAAAAGTAGGCCTTAGACAAGGTTTTGTGATGTCACCGGGTTGTTTCATATATTTATAGATGGGGTTGTAAGAGAAGTAAATGCGAGGGTCTTGGCAAGAGGCGTGGGGGTTAAAAGATAAAGAATCACACACAAAGTGGGAGTTGTCACAGCTGCCTTGCCGATGACACTGTGCTCTTGGGGGATTCTGAAAAGAAGTTGCAGAGATTTGGGGGATGAATTTGGTAGGGTGTGCAAAAAAGAAAATTAAAGGTGAATACAGGAAAGAGGTAAGGTTATGAGGATAACAAAAGATTAGGTGATGAAAGATTGAATATCAGATTGGAGGGAGAGATTATGGAGGAGGTGAACGTATTCAGATATTTGGGAGTGGACGTGTCAGCGGATGGGTCTATGAAGATGAGGTGAATCATAGAATTGATGAGGGAAAAAGAGTGAGTGGTGCACTTAGGAGTCTGTGGAGACAAAGAACTTTGTCCTTGGAGGCAAAGAGGGGAATGTATGAGAGTATAGTTTTACCAACGCTCTTATATGGGTGGGGAAGCGTGGGTGATGAATGTTGCACGAGGAAAGGCTGGGGGCAGTGGAGATGCCCATGTCTGGGGGCAATGTGTGGTGTGAATAAAATTGCAAGAGAATTCGTATTTTGGGAAAGTTAGGAGGAGGTGCGGGGATTACCAAAACTGTTGTCCAGAGGGCTGGGGAAGGGTTGTTGAGGTGGTTCGGACATGTAGAGAAAAAGGGAGCGAAACAGAATGACTTCAAGAGTGTATCAGCCCTGTAGTGGAAGGAAGGCGGGGTTTAGGGGTCGGCCTAGGAAGGGTTGGAGGGGGGGGGGTTTAAAGGGAGGTTTTGTGTGCGAGGGGCTTGGACTTCCAGCAGGCATGCGTGAGCGTGTTTGATAGGAGTGAATGGAGACAAATGGTTTTTAATACTTGACGTGCTGTTGGAGTGGGGAGCAAAGAAACATTTATGAAGGGATTCAGGGAAACCGGCAGGCCGGACTTGAGTCCTGGAGATGGGAAGTACAGTGCCTGCACTCTGAAGGGGGGTGTTAATGTTGCAGTTTAAAAACTGTAGTGTAAAGCACCCTTCTGGCAAGACAGTGATGGAGTGAATGATGGTGAAAGTTTTTCTTTTTCGGGCCACCCTGCCTTGGTGGGAATCGGCCGGTGTGATAATAAATAATAAATAATAAAAATAATAATATATTTAATAATAATATAATAATATAATACATAATATAATAATACATAATAGTACAATAATAATTATAATAAAAGTACATGTATGTACCTACTGCATATAATTTAGTTTGACAACTCCACCACCAGATGGCAGTGTCAGTCCAAACAATGCTCACCAGTGCACATGTGCTTATGGAGCTACCCTCGCGGTGCAACGAATTCTTGTGGTTTCCTTACGGTTAATGCAGTTAATTCACCAAATTTCTTTCTTCTTACCATGGGTCCTAAGAAAGCAAGTGCAATGGACAGTGCCGAGAAGAACAAGAGGATGATTTGCAGGGAATTAAAGCAAGAAACCATTGATAAACACAGACTTGGTATGAGGGTTGAGGACTTGGCAAGTGAGTACAAGCGTAGCCCCTCTACTGTATGTACAAAACTAAAGCAGAAGGAGGCTGTAAAGGCTATAGCACCAGGAAAGGGCATTACAGTAATTTCTAAGCAGTGGACCTGTCAGTGAAAAGATGGGGAAGCTGCTGTTGACATGGTTGATGGAGAAACAGCTCACGGGAGATACGTAGTGTAGAGAGAGAAACATAAAAATTGTACATAGCAGTTCTTAAGAAAAGTGTGAACTCCTGACAGGATATGCTGCTCTGCATTTCTTCTCCAAGGTATGTAAATGTCGTATGTACACCAGATCTAATTCAGTTAATCTCACAAACTCCGTTTTCTCTTATAATAACACCTCTGAAGTTTTCATAGCGAGAATGAGTGACCACTCCCAACCAAAATCCTCCTCCCTCGGCCGTCCACATAATGACATATTTTATTCATTCTAAAGTGTATACGTATTAGGTTTCTATGTTATTTATATTGTTTCTTATGTCATATTAGATGAATTGTAACATAAATAAGCCGTAGAGTTGATATTAGGGTTACTTTGTCATGCCTCCTGAGAGCAGGAATTCAGCTGGAACGAATTAATTGCATTTCAATTAATTTAAATGAGGAAAATTGACCCAGCGTACGAACAGATGAGGATAGGAACAAGTCCACGGAACGGATTAAATTCGTAACCCGAGGTTCCACTGTATTATGAAAGCATATAGGTGAATGACCACTTAAGATCTTTTTTCCCAGTTATGTCGGGTAACCCTAGGTGTCTTTCTAGACACCTAGGGTTACCCTACTTCACAGTTCAAATGATTCATTAAGCCATAACATTTCCTCCTATCCTTCAAAGTGCAGGCACTGTATTTCCCATCTGCAGAATTTAAAACAATTCACTGGGTAATGCTTTGCTTTTAAAAACATAGTGCTGAGCCACGCTTTGGATTTTTATATTAACAAATAACATTACTTAAGATATTTTTTGATGTGAGCAAATAACCCAATAGGGATATACTGTATATATGTTACTACAGTTCTTCCACATATAACAATATATACTGTATAGTAGAAATATCAGTTTCATGACCCTTGATTTAGTGGACTTCAGATTTAACGGACAAAACCTGTGGCTAAACAACTTCCGGAAACAATAGACAGAGTCTGTTAAATCCAGAATTGTCTGTCTCTGATCGTGGAAAAAGCAATCATCATTCGGATTTAATGGACAATTGACTTCAGTGGACACCCATTCCCCTATTAATTTGTTAAATAGAAGGTTCACTGTATAATAAATAATGCATTAAAATGTATTAATTAAAAAATTTACTTATTTCTGATTTTGTTACAGGTCATGTTGATTTCACAGTGGAAGTGGAACGAGCATTGCGTGTGTTAGATGGAGCAGTGTTAGTACTTTGTTCAGTGGGTGGTGTTCAGTCACAAACCTTAACAGTTAACAGGCAGATGAAGAGGTATAACGTACCTTGTGTGGCATTCATCAATAAAATAGATCGAATGGGAGCCAATCCTTATCGTGTATTGAGTCAGATGAGGTGAGAAAATGATTACTGTATTTATTATAGTTTGTTCATGACATGTGGGATAATTTTTTAACAAATTAATAAGATCCTATTTTGCATATATCAATAAACAAAATACAGTAATACAGTACTGTATATGATATTTGAAGGTACTCATTCTTATTGAGAATTGCTTTCTCTATCCATTGTCAAATTTACTTCTGTGGATTTCTTTCTGTCAGTTGTACCATGACAGTATTATAACTTTTTTTTTTTTCAATTGAATTTACAGGCTAAAAGTTAGCTTACCTCAGTTTATTTCAAAGCCCAGCCCTATCTAAGGTGCACTAACACCCTTTGGAATGTGACCTACAACAGTTGACTAACACCTTGGTAACTACTTACTGCTTGGTAAACAGGGGCAACAGGTGTAAGAAAACATGACTAATGTGTTCACACATGCTGGGATCGAATCGTGGACCTTCAGTGTGTAATCTGAGGGCGCGGCCAGTTGCAAATAAATATGTAATTGTTAATATTGCTTATACATATTTGCAAAATTTACAAGCAGTGGAATTCACAAAGGTTAAAATAAATTGTCTTCACATTTGTATTTTCTCCATTTTTTGATAGGTCTAAACTTCTTCACAATGCAGCATTTGTCCAGTTACCAATTGGCTTGGAAAATAGCACTAAAGGAATCATTGATTTGGTGGGCCAAAAAGCTCTCTACTTTGAAGGTGATTTTGGGTAAGTTAATTATTGAAGTGTTTTATTATGGATTTTTTAAACTGGTACTAGATTATTAAAATTAGTTCTTCCTTGATTTTTCTTTGTTGATACATAAATACATAGCAAATGCTCTTAGAAAATGTCATTGCAGATATTTTGATCTATTGTTTTACTGGTCTATCTTTTTTTTACTCTTTAAACAATTTTTGGATCTTTTCTACCCATAATTTTTTTTAATTATGATTGAAAATTTGCTTTTAATAGAAAATTGTATAACATGTATATACTGAAGCAAAATAGGCTGACTTGGAGGGCATATAAATCTGTAGTGGAGGGGAGGAGGGGTAGGGGTCATCCTAGGAAAGGATGGAGGGATGGAGTAAAGGAGGTTTTGTGTGCAAGGGGCTTGGACATACACCAGGCATATGTGAGCATGTTAGATAGGAGTGAATGGAGATGAATGATTTTTGGGACTTGATGAGCTGTTGGAGTGTGAGCAGGGTAATATTTTGTGAAGAGATTGAGGGAAACCAGTTAACCGGATTTGAGTCCTGGACGTGGGGAGTACAATGCCTGCTGTTTGGAGCGACATCTAAATGTCATACCTGCATGTCTCTGCAAAGACAGTGATTATATGTGACTTAGGGTGAAAGTGTTTCTTTTTATGGGTCATCTTACCTCCGTGGGAGACAGCCAGCATGTTGAAAAAAAAAATATACGTGATGTTCTGCTAAGAGGATTTACACTACTGTTGTCAACAGTTGATAAGTTTTTGCTAGCTTCAACATTAGAAAATTTAAGCTTTCTCTATTTCGGTTTTCATGGTTCTATTTAGGAAGAAATACTCTTAACCCGTAAACGGTCCAAACGTATATATATGTTTTTTCTACATTTGAAAATGTGTAAAAAAAGCTTTTATCTACTTTTGTAGCATTACACATGTGAACGTAGATCTGCTTGGACCCTTTACGGGTTAAAAGATTTTTTTTTTTTATACTTCAAACCTACATACAGGAAATTTTATTTCTAGGTATGCCATGAAAGTTCAAGGGTTAATTTTTGTCAGCCAGTAAGAGAATGTTTAGTGTGTTCAGCCTTTATTTGTAACTCGTGTTTTATTGCATTGGGAATGTGAATTTTTTCTATACTGTCCACTTGATTTTTAAGAGTAAACAACCACTCAACAGCTGCATATTGTAATTTTGACCTAACTTACATTGCAATAAACTTTTTAAACGTATCATAATCCATATATATAACAGTCTTTATTCTTTAAGTGGTTTATTACTTACTCCCTCTTCAAGGGAGGTGCCTTGATGTGGGTTAAGGGCTCTTTATCCAGAGAATTGGAATTATTCCTCCTATTTCCCTGGCACTGTTTATAACCCCTATGGGTTTAATGCTTACCCCATTTATATTAAATGGCACTTGGGTATCTACTAAATTCCATTTCTAATGGAATACTATTCTGCTCTCTCTCTTTGTCTTGTTATTTTTGGCATTTTTTCTTTCTCAAGAACAAATCATGTTAAATACTTTTTTGTTCCTCTAGCAAATAATTTATATAAATTTGAAACATAATTTAAATTGAAACATTATCAGGACTAACACTGGTTGTGGAACCCTGCTAGTGACATTTTCCTGTGAAAGCACTGTTCCATCATATTACTGTAATCTTGTTCATTGGTAGTACTTTACCTTTTATTACTCCAATGCTTTGTAATTTAATTATGATAGTCTTCATAGGTTATTCTGTTCAAACTTTTCAGATACAGTGGAACCTCAAAAATCGAACTTAATCTGTTCCAGGAGCTAGTTCTAAATTCGAAAAGTCTGAAATTTGAAGCAGTATTTCCTATAAGAAATAATGGAAATACAATTAATCCGTTCCAGAAACCCAAAAATATTCACACAAAAAATACATTTTATAGAGATTAATTACAGTTTTACATACAACAAATACTATAGTTTTTAATTATGTATAGTAATACATATAACATAACATTTTTACTTACCTTTATTGAAGATTGGTGATGGCATCTGGAAGATGTATGCCACTATGCTTCTTAAATCTGTCAAACCAGCCTCTGCTGGCCTTAAATTCACTATCAGCACTGGTTCCAGGAGTTTTCTGTACCAGATCGGCATGCAACTTCCTTGCCTTTTCGCAAATAATCGTCTCTGAAACACTATCACCTGCAATCTCTTTATCCCTGATCCACACCAGCAACAACTTCTCAACCTCTTCAACTATTTGTGGTCTTTTTTTGATTAGCATATTAACACCTGAAGGGGGTAGGGGAGTTTCAGTGGGGGGAAATAAATGGGATTAAATCTGGAGTATCTGAGAGAGTTAGAGCAAAGGAAGGGGTAGCAGTAATGTTGAATGATCAGTTATGGAAGGAGAAAAGAGAATATGAATGTGTAAATTCAAGAATTATGTGGATTAAAGTAAAGGTTGGATGCGAGAAGTGGGTCATAATAAGCGTGTATGCACCTGGAGAAGAGAGGAATGCAGAGGAGAGAGAGAGAGATTTTGGGAGATGTTAAGTGAATGTATAGGAGCCTTTGAACCAAGTGAGAGAGTAATTGTGGTAGGGGACCTGAATGCTAAAGTAGGAGAAACTTTTAGAGGGTGTGGTAGGTAAGTTTGGGGTGCCAGGTGTAAATGATAATGGGAGCCCTTTGATTGAACTTTGTATAGAAAGGGGTTTAGTTATAGGTAATACATATTTTAAGAAAAAGAGGATAAATAAGTATACAAGATATGATGTAGGGCGAAATGACAGTAGTTTGTTGGATTATGTATTGGTAGATAAAAGACTGTTGAGTAGACTTCAGGATGTACATGTTTATAGAGGGGCCACAGATATATCAGATCACTTTCTAGTTGTAGCTACACTGAGAGTAAAAGGTAGATGGGATACAAGGAGAATAGAAGTATCAGGGAAGAGAGAGGTGAAGGTTTATAAACTAAAAGAGGAGGCAGTTAGGGTAAGATATAAACAGCTATTGGAGGATAGATGGGCTAATGAGAGCATAGGCAATGGGGTCGAAGAGGTATGGGGTAGGTTTAAAAATGTAGTGTTAGAGTGTTCAGCAGAAGTTTGTGGTTACAAGAAAGTGGGTGCGGGAGGGAAGAGGAGCGATTGGTGGAATGATGATGTAAAGAGAGTAGTAAGGGAGAAAAAGTTAGCATATGAGAAGTTTTTACAAAGTAGAAGTGATGCAAGGAGGGAAGAGTATATGGAGAAAAAGAGAGAGGTTAAGAGAGTGGTGAAGCAATGTAAAAAGAGAGCAAATGAGAGAGTGGGTGAGATGTTATCAACAAATTTTGCTGAAAATAAGAAAAAGTTTTGGAGTGAGATTAACAAGTTAAGAAAGCCTAGAGAACAAATGGATTTGTCAGTTAAAAATAGGAGAGGAGAGTTATTAAATGGAGAGTTAGAGGTATTGGGAAGATGGAGGGAATATTTGAGGAATTGTTAAATGTTGATGAAGATAGGGAAGCTGTGATTTCGTGTATAGGACAAGGAGGAATAACATCTTGTAGGAGTGAGGAAGAGCCAGTTGTGAGTGTGGGGGAAGTTCGTGAGGCAGTAGGTAAAATGAAAGGGGGTAAGGCAGCCGGGATTGATGGGATAAAGATAGAAATGTTAAAAGCAGGTGGGGATATAGTTTTGGAGTGGTTGGTGCAATTATTTAATAAATGTATGGAAGAGGGTAAGGTACCTAGGGATTGGCAGAGAGCATGCATAGTTCCTTTGTATAAAGGCAAAGGGGATAAAAGAGAGTGCAAAAATTATAGGGGGATAAGTCTGCTGAGTATACCTGGTAAAGTGTATGGTAGAGTTATTATTGAAAGAATTAAGAGTAAGACGGAGAATAGGATAGCAGATGAACAAGGAGGCTTTAGGAAAGGTAGGGGATGTGTGGACCAGGTGTTTACAGTGAAACATATAAGTGAACAGTATTTAGATAAGGCTAAAGAGGTCTTTGTGGCATTTATGGATTTGGAAAAGGCGTATGACAGGGTGGATAGGGGGGCAATGTGGCAGATGTTGCAAGTGTATGGTGTAGGAGGTAGGTTACTGAAAGCAGTGAAGCGTTTTTACGAGGATAGTGAGGCTCAAGTTAGAGTATGTAGGAAAGAGGGAAATTTTTTCCCAGTAAAAGTAGGCCTTAGACAAGGATGTGTGATGTCACCGTGGTTGTTTAATATATTTATAGATGGGGTTGTAAGAGAAGTAAATGCGAGGGTCTTGGCAAGAGGCGTGTAGTTAAAAGATAAAGAATCATACACAAAGAGGGAGTTGTCACAGCTGCTCTTTGCTGATGACACTGTGCTCTTGGGAGATTCTGAAGAGAAGTTGCAGAGATTGGTGGATGAATTTGGTAGGGTGTGCAAAAGAAGAAAATTAAAGGTGAATACAGGAAAGAGTAAGGTTATGAGGATAACAAAAAGATTAGGTGAGGAAAGATTGAATCTCAGATTGGAGGGAGAGAGTATGGAGGAGGTGAATGTATTCAGATATTTGGGAGTGGACGTGTCAGCAGATGGGTCCATGAAAGATGAGGTGAATCATAGAATTGATGAGGGGAAAAGAGTGAGTGGTGCACTTAGGAGTCTGTGGAGACAAAGAACTTTGTCCTTGGAGGCAAAGAGGGGAATGTATAAGAGTATAGTTTTACCAACGCTCTTATATGGGTGTGAAGCATGGGTGATGAATGTTGCAGCGAGGAGAAGGCTGGAGGCAGTGGAGATGTCATGTCTGAGGGCAATGTGTGATGTGAATATAATGCAGAGAATTCGTAGTTTGGAAGTTAGGAGGAGGTGCGGGATTACCAAAACTGTTGTCCAGAGGGCTGAGGAAGGGTTGTTGAGGTGGTTTGGACATGTAGAGAGAATGGAGCGAAACAGAATGACTTCAAGAGTGTATCAGTCTGTAGTGGAAGGAAGGCGGGGTAGGGGTCGGCCTAGGAAAGGTTGGAGAGAGGGGGTAAAGGAGGTTTTGTGTGCGAGGGGCTTGGACTTCCAGCAGGCATGCGTGAGCGTGTTTGATAGGAGTGAATGGAGACAAATGGTTTTTAATACTTGACGTGCTGTTGGAGTGTGAACAAAGTAACATTTATGAAGGGGTTCAGGGAAACCGGCAGGCCGGACTTGAGTCCTGGAGATGGGAAGTACAGTGCCTGCACTCTGAAGGAGGGGTGTTAATGTTGCAGTTTAAAAACTGTAGTGTAAAGTACCCTTCTGGCAAGACAGTGATGGAGTGAATGATGGTGAAAGTTTTTCTTTTTCGGGCCACCCTGCCTTGGTGGGAATCGGCCAGTGTGATAATAAAAAATAAATAAAAAAAAATTAACACCTTTTGCAATATCAGCTTCCTTGATTTGTTCTTTCTTTGACAGGAAAGAACCGATGGTCGACTTGTTTTTCCCATACATCCTGGCAAGCTCAACAAGTCTCACACCACTCTCATACTTCTGTATTATTTCCTTCTTCACATCTATGGTGTTTCTCACTTTCTTTACCACAGGGGTACCACTAGCAAGTTTTTTTTGGGCCCATGGCAGCTTATTTCACAGTCCCACAAGCACTAAACACAACGAAATAATCGTAAAATGCGTGAATGAGAGCGCAGGTTAGTGTTCACTCAAGCATAAACAAAGCTAGACTGCTCACGGCGCCTGCGTGGGGACGCGGACAGAGCGGGCCGGCAGACAGGTCCCGTACCTGGCGGTTCGAAAATAGGGGCGTGTTCGATAATAGGGACACAGTTTGTCCGAAAAAATGGTCCTATTTTCGAAACGTTTGATATGTGATACTTTCGATTTTTGAGGTTCCACTGTAATCATAAATAAATGCAATCTGGCTGTCCACTTCTTGAATATTAAGGGACTATTTTAGTAACTTAATAGATATAATTTGTGTGCTTTTATTGTTTCAAAAATCAATTTCTTTGATGGTAGGTTCTTGCTCTCCAAGTGTTTTATCCATGTACTCTAATGACTTTCTCCTTTATTTTTCCATCTTTTGTCAGTAAGTCAGATCTGTATATTAAAGAGCCTTTGTCTTTTTTTGCCATTTTCTATTTATCCTCCTGTTTGCCTTTTTTGTAATGAAATGACCCCCAAATTTCATTGTAGCTAGCTTGATTCACCTGAAAATTTTAGTAGTCTTATGCTGTCTATTTTCTGTTTTGCTCTATTTTTTTTTTTTTTTTGTCAGAAATATTATTCGTGAGGATGAAATACCGGTTAATATGAGAGCAGAGACTGATGAACGCCGAATTGAACTTGTTGAATATCTCTCCAACGCTGATGAAGTTATTGGCGAATTGTTCCTGGGTAAGAAGAAATGTTGTCATCTGTTATATACAGTAAAGTCCATGTTTGTGGTCTTATCACTAGTATTCTAATGTTTATAATTTATTATTTTGTAGAAAAATTTTTATATTAACTGTCTTAATAGACAAAGGCAAGTACTGTACATGTGGTATTATTTTTATGGTACAGTACTTAACAACATGGGACAGATTTTACTAATGTGATTTATTAGGAAATATCTACCTAACAGTGTTTTTCATATACATATTAACCCTTAAACGGTCCAAACTTGTATATACATCCTTACGCGTAGCATCCCAAACGTATTTTTTTATATTATTTTTATCATCACACTGGCTGATTCCCACCAAGGCAGGGTGGCCCGAAAAAGAAAAACTTTCACCATCATTCACTCCATCACTGTCTTCCCAGAAGGGTGCTTTACACTACAGTTTTTAAACTGCAACATTAACACCCCTCCTTTCGAGTGCAGGCACTGTACTTCCCATCTCCAGGACTCGAGTCCAGCCTGCCGGTTTCCCTGAACCCCTTCATAAATGTTACTTTGCTCACACTCCAACAGCACGTCAAGTATTAAAAACTATTTGTCTCCATTCACTCCTATCAAATAGGCTCACGCATGCCTGCTGGAAGTCCAAGCCCCTCGCACACAAAACCTCCTTTACCCCCTCCCTCCAACCTTTCCTAGGCCGACCCCTACCCCGCCTTCCTTCCACTACAGACTGATACACTTTTGAAGTCATTCTATTTCGCTCCATTCTCTCTACATGTCCGAACCACCTCAACAACCCTTCCTCAGCCCTCTGGACAACAGTTTTGGTAATCCCGCACCTCCTCCTAACTTCCAAACTACGAATTCTCTGCATTATATTCACACCACACATTGCCCTCAGACATGACATCTCCACTGCCTCCAGCCTTCTCCTCGCTGCAACATTCATTACCCATGCTTCACACCCATATAAGAGCGTTGGTAAAACTAGACTCTCATACATTCCCCTCTTTGCCTCCAAGGACAAAGTTCTTTGTCTCCACAGACTCCTAAGTGCACCACTCACCCTTTTCTGAATACATTCACCTCCTCCATACTCTCTCCCTCCAATCTGATATCCAATCTTTCATCACCTAATCTTTTTGTTATCCTCATAGCCTTACTCTTTCCTGTATTCACTTTCAATTTTCTTCTTTTGCACACCCTACCAAATTCATCCACCAATCTCTGCAACTTCTCTTCAGAATCTCCCAAGAGCACAGTGTCATCAGCAAAGAGCAACTGTGACAACTCCCACTTTGTGTGATTCTTTATCTTTTAACTCCACGCCTCTTGCCAAGACCCTCGCATTTACTTCTCTTACAACCCCATCTATAAATATATTAAACAACCACGGTGACATCACACATCCTTGTCTAAGGCCTACTTTTACTGGGAAATAATTTCCCTCTTTCCTACATACTCTAACTTGAGCCTCACTATCCTCGTAAAAACTCTTCACTGCTTTCATTGCTTTCACATTGCCCCCCTATCCACCCTGTCATACGCCTTTTCCAAATCCATAAATACCACAAAGACCTCTTTAGCCTTATCTAAATACTGTTCACTGTAAACACCTGGTCCACACACCCCCTACCTATCCTAAAGCCTCCTTGTTCATCTGCTATCCTATTCTCTGTCTTACTCCTAATTCTTTCAATAATAACTCTACCATACACTTTACCAGGTACACTCAACAAACTTAACCCCCTATAATTTTTGCACTCTTTTGTCCCCTTTGCCTTTATACAAAGGAACTATGCATGCTGTCTACCAATCCCTAGGTACCTTACCCTCTTCCATACATTTATTAAATAATTGCACCAACCACTCCAAAACTATATCCCCACCAGCTTTTAACATTTCTATCTTTATCCCATCAATCCCAGCTGCCTTACCCCCTTTCATTTTACCTACTGCCTCACGAACTTCCCCCACACTCACAACTGGTTCTTCCTCACTCCTACAAGATGTTATTCCTCCTTACCCTATACACGAAATCACAGCTTCCCTATCTTCATCAACATTTAACAATTCCTCAAAATATTCCCTCCATCTTCCCAATACCTCTAACTCTCCATTTAATAACTCTCCTCTCCTATTTTTAACTGACAAATCCATTTGTTCTCTAGGCTTCCTTAACTTGTTAATCTCACTCCAAAAGTTTTTCTTATTTTCAACAAAATTTGTTGATAACATCTCACCCACTCTCTCATTTCCTCTCTTTTTACATTGCTTCACCACTCTCTTAACCTCTCTTTTTCTCCATGTACTCTTCCGTCCTTGCATCACTTCTACTTTGTAAAAACTTCTCATATGCTAACTTTTTCTCCCTTACTACTCTCTTTACATCATCATTCCACCAATCGCTCCTCTTCCCTCCTGCACCCACCTTCCTGTAACCGCAAACTTCTGCTGAACACTCTAACACTACATTTTTAAACCTACCCCATACCTCTTTGACCCCATTGCCTATGCTCTCATTAGCCCATCTATCCTCCAATAGCTGTTTATATCTTACCCTAACTGCCTCCTCTTTTAGTTTATAAACCTTCACCTCTCTCTTCCCTGATGCTTCTATTCTCCTTGTATCCCATCTACCTTTTACTCTCAGTGTAGCTACAACTAAAAAGTGATCTGATATATCTGTGGCCCCTCTATAAACATGTACATCCTGAAATCTACTCAACAGTCTTTTATCTACCAATACATAATCCAACAAACTACTGTCATTTTGCCCTACATCATATCTTGTATACTTATTTATGCTCTTTTTCTTAAAATATGTATTACCTATAACTAAACCCCTTTCTATACAAAGTTCAATCAAAGGGCTCCCATTATCATTTACACCTGGCACCCCAAACTTACCTACCACACCCTCTCTAAAAGTTTCTCCTACTTTAGCATTCAGGTCCCCTACCACAATTACTCTCTCACTTGGTTTAAAGGCTCCTATACATTCACTTAAGATTTGGCACGATTGGCCTGAGATGCCTTGTCAGCATAGAATGGGCCCTAACACTCAGTGTGTGCGGTATTAAAAAAATCTGGGACCACTTAGTACCTTGTGGGAGCGCCAGTTAAATTAGCGCCAGCTAGAGCAAACAGTGCGGTAAGCACCAAGGATTCACTGATGTAATGTCATATTAACACTCTCTTTTAAGAGGAAAGTGATGTTAACCCCAAGTTTAAGGTCTCTCTCTCTTTCTGTCTACCTCTGTCTCTCTGTGTCTGTCTGTCTCTATTTTTGTCTATCTGTGTCTGTATCTCTTTCAATCTCTCTCTTTCTATCTGTCTGTCTATCTGTCTCACAGGTACACACAAATACAAGTATACATAGTGTAAATTACCTAGGATAACCAAAAAATCCAGACAAAGTGCTATACTCTGCTTGAAGATGTGAATAAACATGATGACAATGCAGTCTTGTTGCTCTCTGAGACAGAGAGCTAGACGGATAGACAGATAGATAGGGAGCTTGACAGACAGACAAATAGACAGACGGACAAGTTTGTGTACCGGTGAAAACAAAGTGAGGGCGATGCTCATCAAATATCACCTCTAATCTTTTCTTATCAGCTGCATGTTGCAACCCCTGAATGGGTCACAAAGTTTTTTTTTTTTTTTTTTTTTTTTTTCAACAAGTCGGCCGTCTCCCACCGAGGCAGGGTGACCCAAAAAAGAAAGAAAATCCCCAAAAAGAAAATACTTTCATCATCATTCAACACTTTCACCACACTCACACATTATCACTGTTTTTGCAGAGGTGCTCAGAACACAACAGTTTAGAAGCATACGCATATAAAGATACACAACATATCCCTGAATCCCTTCACTAAATATTACCCTGCTCACACTCCAACAGATCGTCAGGTCCCAAATACCATTCGTCTCCTTTCACTCCTATCGAACACGCTCATGCACGCCTGCTGGAAGTATTTAATGTATAGTATTACCTTTTCCTATAATTTTATATTGCTTATATTTGCGATAATAGCTAAATCGTAAATATATTGCTTTATATTATTATTTGACTTAGTTACTTTTATTAGGTAGGATGTAACATGTATATATTATTCGGTGCTCATAGTTCAAGGCTTTATTGTCTAACTACTGTAATTATCCCTCGTTGCTCATTTCCCTGCCGGCTTTTCGGTGTTGCTAGGCAGCAGCTGTCCACGGAGCAATCACGTGATCGAAGGGGGGTGTTCACACCTCGCCTGGAGTAGCGAGTCTGGGCTGGACTCTCTTGGTGGTTAGACGTATTCCTGACAAGACGTGCCTAACTCTCCCTTGTTGGCCCTTGTTGGAAGATCGTCTCTGTTGTTTTCTTGTTGTTGGTTCTGTAGAACTCTGTTCACAGAACATTGTCTAGACTTAGTGATTTTCGACGTTGTACTGAGGTTGTGTGTCGCATGCACTCTGAGCAACCCAGGTCCTGAGCTGTAGCTTCTGACCTAATTTGTACTGGTATCTGTGTACTGTCACAGTCGGGGATTTTCTTAGGCTGAACTTAGATTCAGTAGTATGGGAGTTTTGTGACTTTTGTGGAGGACCTGCAGATGGTCCCTACTTAGTGTCATTATATTATCTCCTTGTTCCTGATTGTGTCGCTATTGCTTGTTATATTGCTATTGGGCTTAGCAGTCGTTTTATTGTTCAAGCAAGCTGTTCTGATTGCCAGGTGGTCAAGAAGTTAGTTAATGCGAGGACTTAGTCACTAGTTAAGTCTAGTTGAGTTTTGAGACATAGCGAACTACTTAGAGCACTTACACACATACTCACAAACTTATTTGTATATATATGTATTATTAAATGTTAATGTGCTAGACGGTACTTAAGACATAAATGTGATATGTGCTATCAGCACAATAATGCTGTACACGAGAGAAGTGATTATTATTATTTAGATTACTTTGCTTAATTTAATTTAATTTGATAATACAATGTATACTCCTAGACATCTTTATTAATAAACTTAATAAATTTTAATTTCTCTAGTTAGTAGCCTACTAGTTGTAATCCTGAAGCACTAATAATTCTTATTGAATTCTAATGGATAATTGGACCAGGATACTGACTACTTGTTACAAAAACCCAGTAACAGGCTGGATGCTAGAAGGGCAGTCCTTTCTAGTATTCACTGGAGATCTCTATGCTTATTAGAAATCGCATTTTTTGTAACACTGCACCCTCCCCCACCCTTGTGTATGCTCATCAAACGTCAGCTCTTATCAGTTATCTCATCATGTCACTGTCAGTGGTGGACTTTGTTTTTCATGCTTCAAGGCAACTTCTTATTACCTATTATTATTATTACGTATGATTATTCTCCTCTTTCTTCTCCTCCTCTTTCTTCTCCTCCTCTTTCTTCTCCTCCTCTTTCTTCTCCTCCTCTTTCTTCTCCTCCTCTTTCTTCTCCTCCTCTTTCTTCTCCTCCTCTTTCTTCTCCTCCTCTTTCTTCTCCTCCTCTTTCTTCTCCTCCTCTTTCTTCTCCTCCTTTCTTCTCCTCCTCTTTCTTCTCCTCCTCTTTCTTCTCCTCCTCTTTCTTCTCCTCCTCTTTCTTCTCCTCCTCTTTCTTCTCCTCCTCTTTCTTCTCCCCCTTCTTCTTCTCCCCCTTCTTCTTCTCCCCCTTCTTCTCCCCCTTCTTCTTCTCCCCCTTCTTCTTCTTCTCCCCCTTCTTCTTCTCCCCCTTCTTCTTCTCCCCCTTCTTCTTCTCCCCCTTCTTCTCCCCCTTCTTCTTCTCCCCCTTCTTCTTCTCCCCCTTCTTCTTCTCCCCCTTCTTCTTCTCCCCCTTCTTCTTCTCCCCCTTCTTCTTCTCCCCCTTCTTCTTCTCCCCCTTCTTCTTCTCCCCCTTCTTCTTCTCCCCCTTCTTCTTCTCCCCCTTCTTCTTCTCCCCCTCCTCTTCCTCCCTCCTCCCTCCTCCCTCCTCCTCCTCCTCATTGTTATTATATCCTTCCACATATCCAAAACATTGCTGGGACATATAAATACTTTGTATATATTCCAAGACAATAGTAAATGGCTAAGGCAGGTGTAACTGTCCACCTGTCAGTGTGTTTGTGACAATTTCAGTACCTAATACTAGTGTCAGAACAAAGATTGGTTATAAAATGACAAGAACTACTACAAATTGTAATTATCAGAACATAAAAATTACATAAAATAATATGAAAAATAGAAAAAAGGTATATCGGCAACACTTCTGCAAGCGGCAGGACTCCATGTTGCTGTCACATGAGCATCCATTGCCAACTTCTCAGCCTCATATCTCGGTAAGTACTGACCCTAAAAAAAAAATTTTATTCTAAAATACTTAAAAAAAATGTGCTCTTTTTTTCTATATAATTTTTTTTTTTTTTTCGAAATATTCGGGGCACTGCGTGAGTGAATGTATATATACGTTTGGACCGTTTAATGGTTAAATAATATGCTTGATTATTATTTGTATAATGTAGAGGAGAAGACGCCAACAGAGGAAGAGCTTCATGCTGGTATTCGGCGGACATGTCTGCAGCGAACCTTTACACCAGTTTTTGTTGGAACAGCACTGAAAAATAAAGGAGTTCAGCCACTCCTGGATGGAGTTCTTAAATACTTGCCAAATCCTGGGGAAGTAAATAATTTTGCCTTGCAGCAAAATAGTAAAGGGTAAGCTTATTCACCATTTGTTTTAGTAATCATAGTAGAAAGTGTTATATTTTTGTAGTCCCTCATTTATATTGTCAAATGTTCTTTTATCTACGTGTTTAGAGTTTGATTTCTGTAGCTTGTAGTTTAACTAGTTCTGTGCCTCCACTTCCTTGGATCAAATCAGATTGCCTCCCATTCCCCAGGTGCTGTATGACCCCTACAGGTTTGGCACTTCCCCTGAATGTAACTATTTCTGTAATGCTAATTCTTTTTCTTTTCGTAACGTATTCTCTACACTGAGTAATTTTCCTTGAATGCTACTTACTTCAAATACATTTTTCAAGTTGATTTATTACTCATTTTCAGGATTCTGTTATAATGTCCCTAAGTAGTATGTCTTTTAGAGGTTACTACCACCTATATTTGTTTAAAATATTTGTAAATTTTTTTTTTTTTCAATTGAAAGTATTTTTAATTTGTTTTATTTGTCCTGTTCGTTACCCTGATAAACCATGTGATGGGTGGGTTTGATCCTACTACTCAAGAAAAAATGCTTCATTTTTTAATTATTGCTTTAATCATTTAGCATTTTTCTTTCTGTATAATTATTTTGAGGCCTTGTTTAGTGATATGTCCTTGCAGCTTTCAATTTTCTTTGCCATTGGCTCTCTAGAATTTCTCCCTAATGCTTGACCTTTTGTATTAATATCATATTGTCTGTCCCATAAAGGTATTTTCCAATTTGTCTATCACTTGGTTCACTTGGTTGTTGAAGTTCTCTAAGCATTTTAGGATCTTACTGATTTCTTATGTCAGCTCATGAATTACTTTTCCTGTCTCATGACTTAACAATATTTTATCTACACCTACCATCTGACTTATGACCTGTTCGACATACGTCCACTCGACTTACGACCGTGCAGCTGGGCTGGGCCGGCTGATGCATACTGCTGTACAATATTTGACCATACTCACGGCGGCAACACGCCATGCAGGCAGCATCAGTTTGAGTTACCCTGCCCTATCAGCAGCATTATACTGTATTAACTGTGCTAACTGGACAGTAAATTTCACCATGGCCCCTAAGAGGAAGTCTGAATCTTGCACTGGAGATTGTGGCAAGAAAGGCTCTTACTCTCTAACTCTCCCTATTTGTTTTCACTGTTGCACATAAACCTGTCTGTATCTGTCTGCCTGTATATCTGTCTGTCTATCTGTCTAGATCTGTCTGCTTATCTGTCTTTGTCTTCCTGTGTGTGTGTCTGTCTTTCTGTTTACCTGTGTCTGTCTTTCTGTCTGCTTGTCTCTGTCTCAGAGAGCCACTCATGAAACAACAGGTATTACACATGAAGCAAAGGCGTCACATCTTCAATGTAACGCTAATATCGCTCTGCGGCTTATTTATCTATCACAATTCATCTAATGTGACATAATAAACAATATAAATAACATGAAAACCTGATGTACGCTCTAGAATGAATAAAATATGAACTTAACTGCTTTAAACTCCACATCTTGCTCCTGTGCTGGCGTGCAGGTACAGTGGAACCTCAAATTTCGAATGTATCACTTATTGAGCGTTTCAAAAATAGAACCCTTTTTTCGAACCAACTTTGTCCCTATTATCGAACGCACCCATATTTTTGGACCGCTGGGTACCGGACCTGTCCGTCAGCCTGCTCTGTCCACGTCTCCGCGCAGACACCGTGAGCCAGTCTGGCTTTGTTGATGCTTGAGTGAACACTAACCTGCACTCTCATTCAAACATTTTATGATTATTTCTTTGTGTTTAGTGCTTGTGGGACTGCGAAATAAGCTACCATGGGCCCAAAGAAACTTCCTAGTGGTATCCCTGTGGTAAAGAAAGTGAGAAACACCATAGATGTGAAGAAGGAAATAATACAGAAGTATGAGAGTGGTGTGAGACTTGCTGAGGTTGCCAGGATGTATGGGAAAAACAAGTCGACTATCAGTTCTATCCTGGCAAAGAAAGAACAAATCAAGGAAGCTGATGTTGCGAAAAGTGTTAATCTTTCTTTCTTTCTTTCAACACACCGGCCATATCCCACCGTGGCGGGGTGGCCCAAAAGGAAAAACAAAAGTTTCTCCTTTTAAGTTTAGTAATATATACAGAAGAAGAGGTTACTAGCCCCTTGCTCTCGGCATTTTAGTCACCTCTTACGACACGCATGGCTTACGGAGGAAGAATTCTCTTTCACTTCCCCATGGAAATAAGAGGAAATAGGCAAGAACAAGAACTACAAAGAAAATAGAAGAAAACCCAGAGGGGCATGTATATAAATGCTTGTACATGTGTGTGGTGTGACCTAAGTGTAAGTAGAAGTAGCAAGACGTATCTGAAATCTTGCATGTTTATGAGACAGAAAAAAAGACACCAGCAATCCTACCATCATGTAAAACAATTACAGGCTTTCGTTTTACGCTCGGCAGAACGGTAGTACCTCCCTGGGCGGTTGCTGTCTACCAACCTACTACCTGTAGAAAAGTGTTAATATACTAACCAAAAAAAGACCACAAATAGTTGAAGAGGTTGAGAAGTTGTTGCTGGTGTGGATCAAGGATAAAGAGATGGCAGGTGATAGTGTTCCAAAGACGATTATTTGTGAATAGGCAAGGAAGTTGCATGCCGATCTTGTACAGAAAACTCCTGGAACCAGTGCTGATAGTGAATTTAAGGCCAGCAGAGGCTGGTTTGACAGATTTAAGAAGAGTAGTGGCATACACAATGTTGTAAGACATGGTGAGGCAGCCAGTTCAGACAAACAGACGGCTGAGAAGTTTGTACAGGAGTTTAAGGGGTACATAGACACTGAAAAATTCAAACCCCAACAAGCGTTCAATTGTGACGAAACAGGCCTGTTTTGGAAGAAAATGCCGAAGAGGACCTACATCACACAGGAGGAAAAGGCACTGCCAGGATACAAGCCTATGAAAGACAGGCTTACTCTTTTGTTCTGTGCTTACGCTAGTGGTAATTTTAAAGTGAAGCCTTTACTTGTGTATCATTCAGAAAATTCCAGAGTTTTTAAGAAAAACAGTGTCTTGAAGAACAAGTTATGTGTCTTGTGGAAAGCTAATCATAAGGCATGGGTCACAAGACAAATTTTTAAAGAGTGGGTCTATGAAGTGTTTGGCCCCAGTGTGAAAAAATACCTCCTGGAAAAGAAATTGCCACTCAAGTGCCTCCTGTTAATGGACAATGCTCCTGCTCATCCTCCAAACGTATTAGACCTCGTCTAGGGACTTCAGTTTTATAAAAGTGAAGTTCTTGCCTCCTAACACCACCACTCTCCTCCAGCCTATGGACCAGCAGGTCATTTCTAACTTCAAAAAATTCTACACAAAAGCAGTGTTTGAAAAGTGGTTTGAAGTGACCACAGACACTAAGTTGACCCTAAGAGAGTTCTGGAGGAATCACTTCAATATCTACAGCTCCATAAGCCTTATAGGTAAGGCTTGGGAGGGAGTGACTTCCAGGACTTTGAACTCTGCTTGGAGATAATTGTGGCCAGATTGTGTCCAAAAGAGGGATTTTGAAGGGTTTGAGGCTGACCCTGACCCTGTCCCTGACCTAGCTGACCCTCTGCCTGTTGTGGACTCTACTGTGGCATTGGGGAACACCCTGGGGCTGGAGGCGAGTGGTGAGGATGTGGAAGAGTTGCTGGAGGACCATAGGGAAGAGCTAACCATTGAAGAGCTGTAAGAGCTCCATCTGGAGCAGTACCAGACCACAGCTGAGGACCTTGCTTCAGAGGAGGAGGAAGAGGGAGTAGATGAGGTGCCGCCTTCAAAGATTAACCCTTTCAAGGTCGACAGGCCTCAGGGTTGGCCAAATTTCAAAAAAAAAAAAAAAAAAAAAAAAATTCTTATGGAAAGATAGAGAATCTTTTCCCGATCATAATGACACCAAAAGTATGAAATTTGATGGAAAACTTACGGAATTACGCTCTCGCCAAGTTAGCGGTCTCAACGATGTTTACGCATTGGTGATTTTGCCCACTTTGAGCCCTATTTTCGGCCAATTCCAGTGTACTTGTCGACAAAAATCATAACTATTTCACTAGAACTCCATTTTTTCTATCAAATGAGTTCAAGAAACCACCCATTTTCTGATTTCAACTATCCAATACAGTGGTCAGAATTTAGCAATTTTGCCAATTTCACACAAATTTGAAAAGATGCCAATTTCCGAATAGGGTCCAGAATAAGCGAGAAAGACATTCCTGGCACTAAAATAACATTTCCTCTGTTCATTAGTCACATCCCCAGGCCCCTCTTACATTCTTTTGCTTTCCACTTTGAATTTTTATTCTCACAAGAAAATAGAAGATTTACTCTTATGCAAACTACTGCATTGGTGTAGAAAAGGTATAAATAATATCAGCGCACTTGTGAAAGAATATTAGATGCACCAGTTGACATGTATTGGACGCATAGCGTGATTTTAGTTTTGAACTTTGGTAAAAATCGAACATTTCTGCTACTTTGAGCGCAATTTCAAGGTAGTTTTCTTTGTAAAACCAGCCAAATCATCTCAATTTCTGTAAAATGTCTTCCATTCTATAAAATGAAACCAGGAAAACTAGAATACAACAATAAATACCATACGAAAATACAGTGCAAAGTCGCTGTTTTAATCCAAAAACACAGTCAGTTTTTTTTTTCTCATTATGCACTGTGTGCTGCAGGATTTTTTTTTATACCACGCACACTGACCATATAGACCCATTCTTTCATATGTAGGCCTACCAGCTTTCTCACTAGATTTGAGGGCGCTAGAATTTAGGCATACTAGTACGTCAGAAACCCTGGTGCGTAAGCTGTACTAGTACGGCCGAAACCCTGAAAGGGTCAAGGGGATTTGTGCCAAGTGGAAGGATGTCGAAATGTTTGTGGAGAAGTATCACCCTGAGCAAGCTGAAACAAGCCATCTTTGCAACAAGTTCAGAGACAGAACCATGTCCCATTTTAGGCAAATGTTAAAGAGGCACCAGAAACACAGGACTGTGGACAGTTATTTTGTGAGACAGGGGTCCAGTGACTCAAGCTGGTCCTAGTGGCATTAACCATTTCAGGGTCGAGAGGCCCTCTCCTAAACTTGTTCTCAGGGTTGAAAATTTTTTGGAAAAAAAAAAAAAAATTATGAAATGATAGAGAATCTTTTCCCAATCATAATGACACCAAAAGTATGAAATTTGATGGAAAACTTACGGAATTATGCTTTCGTGAATTTAGCAGTCTCGATGATGTTTATGCATGGGCGATTTTGCCCACTCTTAGAAGAAAACTCAGAGGGGTGTGTATATATATGCTTGTACATGTATGTGTAGTATGACCTAAGTGTAAGTAAAAGTAGCAAGACGTACCTGAAATCTTGCATGTGTATGGGACAGAAAAAAAAAAGACACCAATCCTACCATGGTGTAAAACAATTACAGGCTTCCGTTTTACACTCACTTGGCAGGATGGTAGCACCTCCTTGGGCGGTTGCTGTCTACCAACCTACTACATAAAATAATAATTATAATAGTACATGTATGTACGTACTGCGTATAATTTAGTTTGACAACACCACCACCAGACAGCAGTGTCAGTCAAAACAATGGTCACCAGTGCACATGTGCTTATGGAGTTACCCTCGTGGTGCAAGGAATTCTCGTGATTTCCTTGCATTTTGTGCAGTTAGTTCACCAGATTTCTTTCTTCTGACCAAGGGTCCTAAGAAAGCAAGTGCAATGGACAGTGCCAAGAAGAAAAAGAGGATGATTCGCCTGGAATTAAAGCAAGAAATGATTAATAAGCACAGACTAGGTACGAGGGTTGAGGACTTAGCTAGTTGAGTACAAGCATAGCCCCTGTACTATATGTACAGTACTAAAGCAGGAGGAGCCTATAGAGGCTATAGCACCAGCAAAGGACATTACAGTAATTTCTAAGCAGTTGACCTCTGTCAGTGAAAAGATGGAAAAGCTGCTGTTGACATGGTTGATGGAGAAACAGCTCACAGGAGATACGTAGTGTAGTGAGATAAACATAAAAATTGTACATAACAGTTATTATTGTTGTTGTTATTATTATTATTATTATTATTATTATTATAATCAAGGGGAAGCGCTAAACCCGTAGGATTCTACAGCACCTTGGTGGGAAAGGTATTCAGGTTTAATATGGAGAACTGGAGCACATATCCAATTCCCTAATTCAAGAGCCCCTCACCATCATCAAGGAGCCTTCCTTGAGGGGCAGTTCTTAAGAAAAGTGTGAACTCCTGACAGGATATGCTGCTTTTCATTTCTTCTCCAAGGTATGTAAATGCCGTATGTGCACCAGATCTTATTCAGTTAGCCTCACAAACTCCGTTTTCTCTTATAACACCTCTGACGTTTTCATAGCGAGAATGCGCAGAAGACTGTGCACACTACCATAACATACTGGAGTGAGAGATATAGGAGGAAATGTAAAATAAACCCAGTGAGGAGCAGGGGTGCAGTGGGGACAGTAAGGGAACACTGTATCAACATCAGGGGTCCCAGACTATTCAACATCTTACCTGAAGATATCAGAAACACGGCTGGACCAAGTGTAGAAGCCTTCAAGGAGAAACTGGACAAGTATCTTTACCAGGTGCCAGATCAACCAGGCTGTGATGGATATGTAGGGCAGCAGGCCTCCAGCAGCAGCAGCCTGGTTGACCAGGCAAGCACCAGAGGAGCTTGGCCCACAGCCAGGCTCCAAGAGTAGTGAAACTCTCGAAACTCTTCAGAGGTATATCGAAGGTACATGCACTGCTAAGCTCCAAAGTTTAATTGTCAAAAAAAAAAATCTAATTGTGTATATACCCAGAGTTTTGAACACCCGGTATGCAGTCTCTCCTCACTTAGCGATGTACTTGTTTACCAATGACTCAGACTTAGACTGGGCTCTCTGACCATTATGCATACTAAACGTATATGAGAGCTGATTTCCTCTATTCTGTTTATTACAATATACAGTGCACTACTGTATAAACATTTAAAAATATACCAGAAATGTTATAAATGGTGCAAAGGTAACATTAATTTAATATCAGAGATGGTTGACATAAACCCACTGCCATTATAATATGCTCCTCACTTAGCGACGAATTCGTTTACCAACATGGTCTTATGAATGAAACTCTGCCTTCAGTGAGGAAAGGATGTATAAACATTTAAAAATACACCCCAAGGACTTCCCCAATGCCACAGTGGATTCCACAACTGGCATACACTTCTCAGGGTTAGCCCCAACCCCTTCAAAATCCCTTTCTTCTACACATTGTGGCCACAGTTTCTTCCAAGCAGAGTTCAAGGTCCTCTTAGTCACTCTCTCCCTAGCCTTACCTATAAGGTTTACACAACTGAGGATACTAAAGTGATCTTTCCAAAACTCTCTTAGAGTCAGTCGAGTGTCTGAGGTCACTTCAAAGCACTTTTGAAACATAGCTTTTGTGTAGAGTTTGTTGAAGTTTGAAATGACCTGCTGGTCCATGGACTGCAGGAGAGGAGTGGTATTAGGAGGCAAAAAACTTGACCTTAATGAAGCTCATGTCCCCAGAAAGTCACTCTGCCAAGTCTGAAGGATGACCAGGAGCACTGTCTAATACCAGGAGGCACTTAAGGTCCAATTTCTTATCCATTAGGTAATTTTTCACAGTGGGGGCAAATGCATGGTGTAACCAGTCATAGAAAAAGTCCCTAGTGACCCATGCCTTACTGTTTGCCCTCCACAGCACACACAAATTAGCCTTGAGGACATTGTTTTGCTTGAATGCTCTGGGAGTTTGAGTGATACACCAATAAAGGCTTCACTTTGCAGTCACCACTAGCATTAGCACACATCAAAAGAGTAAGCCTGTCTTTCATAGGCTTATGTCCTGGGAGTGCCTTTTCCTCCTGAGTAATGTAGGTCCTGCTTGGCATTTTCTTCCAAAACAGGCCTGTTTCATCGCAATTAAAACTTGTTCAGGTTTCAATTCTTCACTGTCTATGTACTCCTTGAATTCCTTCACATATTTTTCAGCCGCTTTTTGGTCCGAACTGGCAGCCTCACCATGCTTTATCACACTATGTATGCCACTACGATTCTTAAATCTCTCAAACCAACCTTTGCTGGCCTTAAATTCACTCACATCACCACTAGTTGCAGGCATTTTTCTAATTAAATCGTCATGTAACTTCCTAGCCTTTTCACACATGATTGCTTGAGAGATGCTATCTCCCGCTATCTGTTTTTCGTTTATCAACACCAATAACAGTCTCTCAACATCATCTATCACTTGCGATCTCTGTTTCGAAAACAAACCTGCACCTTTTGCAAGAACAGCTTCCTTGATTGCCGTTTTGTTGACCAAGATAGTAGTGATGGTTGATTGGGGTTTGGTATACAACCTGCCAGCTCCAAGACACGCACTCCACTTTCGTACTTAGCAATTACCTCTTTCTTCATTTCCATAGTAATTTTCACCCTTTTAACCACAGGGTTGGCACTAGAAGCTTTCTTGGGGCCCATGGTGACTTACTTTGCAGTTACTAGCACTAAAAACAGTGATAATATGTAATGTACCGAATGTATGCTTAGATGCGACCGCACTGGCTGGCTTGTAAACACTGGTACCCACGGGGCAGCTGAGGCCACACGTGGGATGCGTCCCGGACGAATCACGTAAGGCGAGTTTTTTATCGTGAGGCGAGGCAAAATTTTTGCATTCAAATGCTTCGTATGGTGGATTTAACGTAACGCGATGTGTTCGTAAGGCGGGGGTCCACTAGCTGCATGCCAGCACAGTGTGTAAGTATATTTAGGTACAGGTACGCATAAGTATAATTATCAGAGTACATATAAAATATCGTGAGGGAAGTACAGTGCCTGCACTCTGAAGGAGGGGTGTTAATGTTGCAGTTTAAAAACTGTAGTGTAAAGCACCCTTCTGGCAAGACAGTGATGGAGTGAATGATGGTGAAAGTTTTTCTTTTTTGGGCCACCCTGCCTTGGTGGGAATCGGCCAGTGTGATAATAAATAATAATAAATATAAAATATGCAATAACTTTAAAACACTTGAAATTTTGCAGTTTCCAGACATAATAGAGAGATGTGCTCACAGAAAATGTAAACAAACCAGGTGGGGCGTACCGTATTAGAAAGATGGGGAGCCATATAGCAAGTTTTGGTCATAATTTGAAATTGCTGTATTAGCGGAATGCTGTAAGGCAAAACACTGTAAAGCAGGGCCCTACTGTATAGCAATGGCCTATAATTTTGTTTTTAATATATGCAAATTTTAATGTAAATAAGAAATAATTTTTTTTTTTTTTAGCGAGGAAGAGAAGATTCTTATGAAGTCTGCACGAGACAGCAATCATCCTTTTGTTGGCTTAGCCTTCAAGTTAGAAGCAGGGAGGTTTGGGCAGCTGACGTATGTAAGAGTCTATCAAGGATGTCTTAAAAAGGGAAACACGATATACAACTCGCGTACTGGTAAGAAGGTGAGTTGATCGGAGTTAAGTGTTATTTGTACCCAGTGTGACAGCTGACTTTTACTAGTGAAGAAAAGATTCACAATAGCATGACTGGAACAACTCTCAAATAACTCACACTTGGTCTATCTTAAGTTTCCTCTCTTAAATATTTTTTTTTTTTTTAATTTATTACCGGTTATTGCTTTCATGAAGTGCTTATTGTATATCAGCTCTAACATTGGTCATCAACAAAATATCTCCTACTTTGTCCATAAGCTTTCAGAGCAAGATGGAATAGTTTTTTTTTTTTTTTTTTCAAAGTATCTGGTAAGGGCTTGAGTCCTGCAGGTGGGAAGTGCAGTACCTGCACTCTGGAGGGGTGGGAATATTTAAAATTTTGAAGTGTAGTATCTGCATGCCTCTGGCAAAACAGTGTTTCTACTTTTTTGGGTTATCCTTCCTTTGGTGGCAGACAGCCATTGTGTTAAAAAAAAAAATGCATACGGTGTTCTTTTTAATACTGACTGTAAATTAAAAGTCTTTGATTATCTTCATTAATTAATTACTCAGGGTGAAATGTACTGCCATTGTTACCCAAAATCTTTGAAAAATTAATCCATAAGAGATTATAATCTTTTTCTGCCATCACTCAACATACTCAACTTCTGCCATTTCAGTTTCAGACCAAATAAAAGCATAAATAATTCATTTATAAAAATGCTCGTCTTCATTTATGTAGCTGTTGAGAATAATGAATATCCATTAGGATTTTTATAGACCTTAGGAAAGCATTCGATACAGTAGGCCACAACAACCTGCACCTTAAACTGTAACTCTTAAACTGTCCAAATGTAGATCTACGTTGTTACCGCTAGCTCTCCAAACGTAGATCAATGTTTTATTTTTTTTTGTCTCCAAATTTGACACGATTGGCCTGAGATGCCTAGTCAGTACAGAATAGCACTAGTCCTAGGACTGACTCCTGTGGAACCCCGCTCATCACAGGTGCCCACTCTGACACCTCGTCACGTACCATGACTCGTAGTTGCCTCCCTGTCAGGTATTCTCTGATCCATTGCAGTGCCCTTCCTGTTATGCATGCCTAATCCTCTAGATTTTGCACTAATCTCTTGTGTGGAACTGTGTCAAAGGCCTTCCTGCAGTCCAAGAAAATGCAGTCTACCCACCAGTCTCTCTCGTATCTTACTGCAGTTACCTTGTCATAAAACTCAGTAGGTTTGTGACAGGATTTTACTTCCCTGAATCCATGCTTTTTCTTTTTTTTGTGAGAGATAGAGAGAGAGAGATAGAGAGAGAGAGATAGAGATATTGAGAGAGAGGTATTGAGAGAGAGGTATTGAGAGAGAGGTATTGAGAGAGAGGTATTGAGAGAGAGGTATTGAGAGAGAGGTATTGAGAGAGAGGTATTGAGAGAGAGGTATTGAGAGAGAGGTATTGAGAGAGAGGTATTGAGAGAGAGGTATTGAGAGAGAGGTATTGAGAGAGGTATTGAGCTAGAGGTATTGAGCTAGAGGTATTGAGCTAGAGGTATTGAGCTAGAGGTATTGAGCGAGAGATATTGAGCGAGAGGTGTTGAGCGAGAGGTGTTGAGCGAGAGGTGTTGAGCTAGAGGTGTTGAGCTAGAGGTGTTGAGCTAGAGGTGTTGAGCGAGAGGTGTTGAGCGAGAGGTGTTGAGCGAGAGGTGTTGAGCTAGAGGTGTTGAGCGAGAGGTGTTGAGCTAGAGGTGTTGAGCTAGAGGTGTTGAGCTAGAGGTGTTGAGCGAGAGGTGTTGAGCGAGAGGTGTTGAGCGAGAGATGTTGAGCGAGAGATGTTGAGCGAGAGATGTTGAGCGAGAGATGTTGAGCGAGAGATGTTGAGCGAGAGATGTTGAGCGAGAGATGTTGAGATAGAGATGTTGAGATCAATCCTGCTCTGAAACACTTTTGATAGCTGCAGCAGAACTCATGGGCATAAAACCAGAAAATAAAATCTCCGAAATTCCACATATCTGACTCAAACTTTGTAAAAACTCAATGTGCATAAATGGACCTAAATCCTGGAACTTTTTGCTTGAAGATTCCAGAGGTTCCCTATCTGCCAACTACTTCAAGGCTACTTTTAAAAAACACTTTACCTTAATGTGATCCTAACAATTTATTTTGGCAGACAAATCCTGAAACTGTCTTTCATCCAGTATTGTCCTTATTCTTGTTCCATCCTTCCTTCAAATCTCATATATTACTAGAAAAACACTTTTATCCTTGTATCATTTCAAGTACCTAGCTTCATCCTTAACCCTTTGACTGTTTCAGGCCCCTCTCTGAAACTGTCATTCTATGTCGCCAAATATTCAAAAAAAAAAAAAATTATTTTTTCTTATGAAAATGTTAAGATTATTTTTCTGAGTGTTTTAGTCCAAAAAAAAAATTTTTGCCATCGGTACTTACCGAGATATAGAGCCGTGAAGTTTGCAGAAAATGAGCCGCGTATGGCAACAGCGGCGACTGCCGCTCACCCGGTAAACTTTAGTTTACTTGTAATTGAAGGTTTTTTGTTTTTTTCACTATTTTATTTTTTCACATAACTTATGTGGCTATGAACCAAAGTAAGGTGCAATGTTATATATACACTCGTTGTATACAACACAATAAGCACACAACATAATTATCAATATATTGTTTACAAAAACAAACAAACAAACAATTCTTCTTCTTCTTCTTCTTCTTCTTCTTCTTCTACTTCTTCTTCTTCTTCTTCTTCTTCTTCTTCTTCTTCTTCTTCTTCTTCTTCTTCTTCTTCTTCTTCTTCTTCTTCTTCTCTTCTTCTTTCTTCTTTCTTCTTCTTCTTCTCTTCTTCTTCTTTTCTTCTTCTTCTTCTTCTCTTCTTCTCTTCTTCTTCTCTTCTCTTCTCTTCTTCTTCTTTTCTTCTTCTTCTTCTTCTTCTTCTCTTCTTCTTCTTCTTCTTCTCTTCTTCTTCCTTCTTCTTTCTTCCTTCTTCTTCTTCTTCTTTCTTCTTCTTCTTCTTCTTCTTCTTCCTTCTTCTCTTCTTCTTCTTCTCTCTTCTTCTTCTTCTTCTTCTCTCTCTCCTCCTCCTCCTCTCCTCCTCCTCCTCCTCCTCCTTCCTCCTCCTCCTCCTCCTCCTCCTCCTCCTCCTCCTCCTCCTCCTCCTCCTCCTCCTCCTCCTCCTCCTCCTCCTCCTCCTCCTCCTCCTCCTCCTCCTCCTCCTCCTCCTCCTCCTCCTCCTCCTCCTCCTCCCTCCTCCTCCTCCTCCTCCTCCTCCTCCTCCTCCTCCTCCTCCTCCTCCTCCTCCTCTCCTCCTCCTCCTCCTCCTCCTCCTCCTCCTCCTCCTCCTCCTCCTCCTCCTCCTCCTCCTCCTCCTCCTCCTCCTCCTCCTCCTCCTCCTCCTCCTCCTCCTCCTCCTCCTCCTCCTCCTCCTCCCTCCTCCTCCTCCTCCTCCTCCTCCTCCTCCTCCTCCTCCTCCTCCTCCTCCTCCTCCTCCTCCTCCTCCTCCTCCTCCTCCTCCTCCTCCTCCTCCTCCTCCTCTTCTTCTTCTTCTTCTTCTTCTTCTTGTGTGCGAGTGTGTGGCTTATAATTGTTTTGAGTCAGAAGTCAGCAGCTGTCAAAGTGACATATTGTCTCATTAGTCACTACCCCTACCGCCTGTCAAAACAATGGGGTCGGATGCTGCTTCCCCTCCTCCATTCTATCTAATTATCTTTCTCCCTCATTCTATATCTTTCATTCTGTCTCTCTTTCTATCTGTCTGCCTATCTCTGTCTCACAGGTACACATAAATACAAGTATACATAGTGTAAATTACCTAGGATAACCCAAGAAATCCAGACAAAGTGCTATACTCTGCTTGAAGATGTGAGTAAACGTGATGACACAGTCTTGTGGCTCTCTCTGAGACAGAGAGCTAGATGGACAGACAGGGAGCTTGACAGACAGACAAATAGACAGACAGAAATGTTTGTGTACCAGCAAAAACAAAGGGAGGGCGATGGTCATGTAATATTACCCTCCTTTACGCTCATCAAAGTCAGCTCTTATCAGATGTTATCTCCCCTTATCTTGTCACTGTCATGGGGTGGACTTTTTTTTTTCTTGCTTCAAGGGAACAATATTATTACATCTTCTTCTTCCTCCTCCTCCTCTTCTCCTCCTCCTCCTCCTCCTCCTCCTCCTCTTCCTTCCCTCCTCCTCCTCCTCCTCCTCCTCCTCCTCCTCTTCCTCCCCTCCCTCCCCCTCCTCCTCCTCCATTGCTTTTGGTCTCAAACTCCTCCAAATCATGAAATTGATCTTCACTGACACTTTCATCTGTGTTAGAGCATCACTTGGGAAGAGAAGAGTCCCAGATTTGCTGGGGAATCACATATTTCTTACCGCTAGACATGCTGAAAAATGACAACTGAAATGGCATTCCCACAATGCACCACTGGCTCCCCGATTTTTTTTATATGGTGCACACTGACCATGGAGACCCATTCTCTCACATGTGGGCCTACCAGCTTTCTCCTGCTTGATTTGAAGCTGCTAGAATTTATGCGTATAAATACGTCAGAAACATTGGCTCGTAAGACGTATTTATACGTCGGAAACAGTCAAAGGGTTAATGTATCTTTAATTAGAATTTTATTAAAAAATTCTAATTTTGGAATACTTGCAGTATAGTATATACATACTAAGCATTCTCATGTACTGTGTGTCTCACTGTCTAGTAATAATAGTTTTAAGGCTGCTCAAAATACTATGTATAGCAAGGGCCTTTCTATAGTTTTTATATGTCAGTTACCCTAATTGTATACTGTACAGTATGCCACTTCAATAAAGTTATGTTTTGTTTTGTTTTGTTAAAATACTTCATGAATGTATGCTTGATTGGGACACACTTGTGAATTGAAGAAAACTTGAAAGTCATTAATGAATAAATATAAAGCCATAATAAGAATTGCTCTCTGATTTTGTGCCTCCTTTATATCATTTTTTTTTTTTTTTTTTTTTTTTTTTTTAAATATTGTATGATAGTTTATATTAACCAGACTCGAGTCAGGTTAGCCATACTAGAGTCCTGGAGGTGGGAAGTGCATGCTTGCACTCTGAAGGAGGGGGTGAGGATATTGCAGTTTAGACAGGCATCTGAGCTGTAATGTCAGTGCACCTCTGGCAAGACAGTGATAGAATGAGTGATGGTGAAAGTGTTTCTTCTTTCTCAGGTCGCCCTACCATGGTGGGAGACAGCCAGTGTATTAAAAATAAATTATTGGCTAACTTTGGACATTTTTGTTTAAAATATAACTTACTGCCTTAATTGAGATAAAATAAAATGAGTGGTTAATTTCTACAGGTAAAAATATCCAGACTCGTGCAGATGCATAGTAGTAACATGGAAGATGTTAATGAAGTCTTCGCTGGTGATATTTGTGCATTGTTTGGCATTGACTGTGCTTCAGGTGACACCTTTACAACTGATCATAAATTAAACATCTCAATGGTTAGTAACATGCTCATTACAAGTACAGGCTTCACGTTATTTCTGGTTTCAAGTTTATTCATGTGTTTAGAATCTCCTTAATTTCAGGTTTCATAGATTTGGGGTAATTTGGTAGCAACATACTTGTAGACAAGAAAATGAGAACAAGGCAGTATGACATGCAAAGGAAGTGGCAGCAACTTTTTAGAGGGTGAATAATTCACAATTTTTTCAACACATCATGGAATACATTACAATGAATATATTATGTTGAATCTATAGATGCTTTACTATATTGAAATTAGTGTCAACAAGGATAATGAAAGCATGGATTGTCAGTTTATTGGAATGTTAGCAATTATTATTTTTTTTTTTTTCAAATTTTGCAAGAGAAATTAAGCAAGAGAGTGCAATAACATATGCCTTACTGTGTGCTAGTCAGTTGTATTAGTTTTGTGGTTGGATGGCCATATGAGTACAATCATTAAAAGTGGGTTTTGTGGGGGGGGGGGGTTATGGTATTAGATGGACAGGTAAAGCAAAGAAACATTAAAGAGAGAGAGGTTAGGTTCCAGGCTACTGCCAGAAAGCGGACATCTCCAGAAATCAGAACGCCATTTTTTCCACTTATAAATGCATATAAATGCTGGATAACAAGTTTACATTAACATATATTAAGTTAGCAATAGAACTAGGCATTAAAAACAATAAAAAGTAAAATACACACAGTACACTCGTTACTTACCATGAAATATTTGTAGTCTTAATGTAAGGTGAGAGGTGAGTAGTTTTGTAAGAAGTCAGGTGTGGGAGGTAGGGTAGCCAGCCAGGCCATCCCACCCACACATAATATACTGCGACATTTAAAGTGCCCCAGAGTGATAAAATGCATATACAATGGAACCTCGACTTAGAGTTTAATCCATTCCGTGATCTAGCTCGTAACTCGATTTGCTCGTATATCAAATCAATTTTTCTCATTTAAATTAGTTGAAATGCCATTAATCCCTTCCAGTGGAATTACTACTCTCGGGAGGCAGGACAAAATACTTCAGTATGACACTATTTACATATCACAATTCATCTAATATGACATAAACCATATAGTTAACACAGAAACATAATATATACACCTACCATCCGACTTAAGACCGAGTTCGGTTCCGAGAAACCGGTCGTAAGTTGAAATGGTCGTAAGTCGAACTTTACTACTGAATATCAACAAACATTTTTGTAATGACTTTATTTTATTGTTTTATTTTGGTATTTCATGTTTTACTTTACTTTTTATGTTGTTAGTGCTGTATTTTATACTGTAAGGTTTAGGATAAACACTGTGTACAATACAAATAGTTGTTTATTTCCCAGAAATTTGGCATAAAAAACACGGTCGTAAGTCGAGTGGTCATAAGTCGAGCAGGTCGTAAGTCGGATGGTAGGTGTACTCTAGAATGAATAAAATAGGCCATAATATGGCAAGTGGTAGTGGCGGCTGCCATTCTCTCTCCCGCTCTGACTATAGTATCTTCCCATGCTCTTGTTATAAGAGAAAATGGAATGTTTGTGATGCTAACTGCACTAGATCACTAGTTTCATTAGGAAAACGCTGAAACAATGTATTTATAAATAAGAAATATTGTATAAAAACATAAAACATAAGAGAGAATGTAAAGAAATAAACTGTTTATATAAAGTGTACTTACTTGGAGCAGAGGTTCTGGCGGAGGTTGAGGGTGGGAGATACGCAGAGTGGCGTATGATGTCAGTGGCCCTATAAACCTCCAACAACAACATTGGATGAGTTAGTTTCGTTTCATCCTTTTTCTATCGCTTAACTTGCTACACTCTTAATGCTACACTTTATCGTTGAGCTTAACTGCTACAATTTGCTTTGTTTTATCGCAGAACTTCTGCTGCTTCAGTATCATACATATCGTAGATGTACTATGCTGGTATTGCCTGGCTAAGTTCACAACCCTCACACCTTGCTTATGTTTATCTGTGATTTCATACTTTGATTCCATGGACATCATCCTCTTCTTTTTTCCTCAGTACTGTCCTTTGCACTTACTTTCTTAGGACCCATGGTTAGAAAAAAGAAATATGGCCAAATGACTGTAAAAAATGGAAGCAAAGCACGAAAGAAATGCTTCCACAGCAAGGTAAACGTGCACTGCATACTGGATGTTTTGGCATTCACTGCACCAACTGGTGCCAGCATTCTGAAGTTCTTCCTTATTATTATTATTATTATTAATTACATGTTATATATTATATTATTATATATTATATAGTCGGACTTGAGTCCTGGAAATGGGAAGAACAATGCCTGCACTTTAAAGGAGGGGTTTGGGATATTGGCAGTTTGGAGGGATATGTTGTGTATCTTTATACGTATATGCTTCTAAACTGTTATATTCTGAGCACCTCTGCAAAAACAGTGATAATGTGTGAGTGTGGTGAAAGTGTTGAATGATGATGAAAGTATTTTCTTTTTGGGGATTTTCTTTCTTTTTTTGGGTCACCCTGCCTCGGTGGGAGACGACCAACTTGTTGAAAAAAAAAATAAACATTATTATTATTAGTTACATATTATTATTATTATTATTATTATTAATTTAGGGAACTGAAGCTCACTTATTATTATTATTTTTATTATAATTATTATTTTTATTACAGTATTATTTTTTTATTACAGTATTATTATTATTACAGTATTATTATTATTATTACAGTATTATTATTATTATTACAGTATTATTATTATTACAGTATTATTATTATTATTATTATTATTCTTTCTTCTTTCAACACACCGGCCGTATCCCACTGAGGTGGGGTGGCCCAAAAGGAAAAACAAAAGTTTCTCCTTTTACATTTAGTAATATATACAGGAGAAGAGGTTACTAGCCCCTTGCTCCCGGCATTTTAGTCGCCTCTTACAACACGCATGGCTTACGGAGGAAGAATTCTGTTCCACTTCCCCATGGAGATAAGAGGAAATAAACAAGAATAAGAACTAGAAAGAAAATAGAAGAAAACCCAGAGGGGTGTGTATATATGTGCTTGTACATGTATGTGTAGTGTGACCTAAGTGTAAGTAGAAGTAGCAAGACGTACCTGAAATCTTGCATGTTCATGAGACAGAAAAAAGGACACCAGCAATCCTACCATCATGTAAAACAATTACAGGCTTTCGTTTTACACTCACTTGGCAGGACGGTAGTACCTCCCTGGGCGGTTGCTGTCTACCAACCTACTACCTATAATTATTATTATTATTATTATTAATTTAAGGAACTGGAGCACAGATCCAATTCCGTAGATGAAGAACCCCTCACCAACGTCAAGGAACCTTGACGCTAGTGAGGGGCTCTTGATGTAGGGAATTGGATCTGTGCTCCAGTTCCCTAAATTAATAATAATAATAATCATAATAATAATAATGAGGAGCTTCAGAACACTACCTCTAGTTAGCACAGCACACTTTTTACATCGCTGTGGAATCATTTCTCTCATGCTTAAATTTTTTAGTCATTTGGCCAAATTTCTTTTTTCTAAGCGTGTGCCCTAAGAAAGTATGTGCAAAGGACAGTGCTGAGAAGAAAAGAGGATGATTTCCATGGAATTAAAGCATGAAATCATAGATAAACAAGCGAGGTGTGCAGGTTGTGGGTTGCGGGGGAACCTCGCTCCTAACTCAGATGTTGGCTTGTAACTCAGAGCAAAAAATCGACCGAGTGACGGCTCATATCTCAAAAAAACTCATATGTTGGGACACTCGTAGGTCAAGGTTCCACTGTACAGTACACTCATTATTTACCTTAAAATATTTGTAATCTTAATGTAGGGTGAGAGGTGAGTAGTATTTATTTGTAGGAAGTCAGGTGTAGGAGGTATGGTAGCCAGCCAGGACACCCCACCCACACGTAATATATTACGACATTTAAGGTGCCCTAGAATGATCAAATGCATATACAGTACACTGAGTAAATGAGGCGAAATGAATAAACGAGAGGGAGAACGAGTAAATGAGAGAGGAGAGAGATGCGGAGTTACGTAAACAAGTAGACGAACACGTCTGGTTTTGGTTCATACATGTAATATCTCCTATTTATGTTTATTCTACTGTGGAGTGTATATATCATGTTTATATGTTACATAGCATGTTTATGTGATTTTTGAAAAAATATAGATGGATTAATGAAAATGTTTATGTTAATGTAATATACGACATTTAATGCACGTCAGAGTGATTATTTTTATTGAGTATTATTATTATTATCATCATTATTAATATGGTGTCCTTATGAATAATAAGACACTCTTAGTGATTTTAATATGTACACGTCCGCCATCACAAATCCGGCAATCAGTTATTCGGCACTAATTTTGGCTAGCATAATTTCAAATTTCCAGGGAAGCCACACCAACCTCCTGGTACTGTTTGGTGGCGCTACTTGCTGCATAAGTCATTCCAATTTCTTTTTCTCCATTTATTGTTTTACCCTGCTTACTTTTAGCCCTAGCCATGGTTCCAATGAATAAAAGAAATGCTTCTCATTATGTAAAGCACCTACACAGTACATTATCCATTAAAGATAAGGTGGCTTTGAAGCTGCTGTCAGTTGCTATGAGCTCAGTCTCATGATGCAGGAGAATATGCTTTATTATTATGCTAATAATATTATTAATATTAATATTATTATGCTAATAATAGAAAGCCTAGAGAACAAATGGATTTGTCAGTTAAAAATAGGAGAGGAGAGTTATTAAATGGAGAGTTAGAGGTATTGGGAAGATGGAGGGAATATTTTGAGGAATTGTTAAATGTTGATGAAGATAGGGAAGCTGTGATTTCGTGTATAGGGCAAGGAGGAACAACATCTTGTAGGAGTGAGGAAGAGCCAGTTGGGAGTGTGGGGGATGTTCGTGAGGCAGTAGGTAAAATGAAAGGGGGTAAGGCAGCCTGGATTGATGGGATAAAGATAGAAATGTTAAAAGCAGGTGGGGATATAGTT